AGGGACCCTGAGGGTCATCTGTCCCAACCTGCTCCAATGCAGGAACCTCAACTAAAGCATCCATGACAGATGGCCAAGTACCTTCTAACACATAACTTACATTAGCTTGTGTCAAGGCTTCCTGTTTTCCTAATAACTTCCTATTAATAGTTTTCTTTTGATTGAGCCATAGAAGAACCATAACCCTCAGAACTTGGGAGGTTCCCCCCTTTCCCTCCCCACCCACCCTTTCCACTACCCATTTCTGGAGGGTTCTTTTAACCTCCTTGCAAAGGGTCTACATCAGGAGCCCTGGCTTTGCCCCAGCTCTGTTGCTATTTATATCGGCTCTCTGGCTGTCCCATTGGACATTTTTGACAAATGGCCTTGCCTTATGACTTGCAGGCTATTGTAAGGAAAGATAGGCAGGCAGCTGCTTGCTTGTCGAAGGGTGTTTAACAAGCGGGGTGGTGGGGAGTGTGACAATGAGGGGTCAGGAGGCCAGGGAGGGGCTGCAGAGCGGAGAAAGGCTTACGTGCTGAGACTGGACTCAGGGGCACTGAGCGGAGGGCCCGGATGGGCTGCCCAGGAGGAGAGGACAGGATGGATCTGCCACTTACTTCCCACCTCGTCCCTCTCCATCCCAGAGCTGGCAAGCGCTCCTTGGCCGCAGTCTGCAGCGGCTGGCAACAGAAGAGTTCTTTTGAACTGATTAAAGAGCCCATTGTGTCTCTTTGGGGGGTTAAGTTTCTCCAAATGGAATCTGAGCTTACCAGGAAAAGAAAAAAAACAGTGATAGTTGTGGGCCAAGGCAGCAAACTCCCAGCACAGAAAGGGCTTCTCTGCTCTAACCATTAAGCACAATTATTTATTTCCATCAGCATTGGCACATGGTTCATCACATGCACTCAAGGGGCCACATACAGCCACCAGGGATTCCAGGAGGGCCTCGTCTTTTGTCTCTTAGAAATCAGTTAATGCTGCACCATAACTTTAAAGCACATGGCTTCACCCAAAGAACCCTGGGAGCTGTAGTTCGCTCCTCACAGAGCCACAATTCCCAGCACCGTGATTCTTTCAGGGGAAGGCTTGCATTTTAAATGTGCTTTAAAAGTATGGCAAGTGTGGCGCTCCAGTTCACTTTAACATAATGGAACAAAAGGGGCTGCAGTTAGATGTGCCCATCTCATTTCTCACGGGGAAAAGCCACCTGCAGAAAAATACATTTCAGAAGACTCCTGAAGGTTTTGAAAAGGCAAAAGTCAGTGTGTGTGTATATGCTAAATGGAAGCTGTGCTGTAGCAGAGCGGTGCCAAGAGAGGTCCAAACAGTAATTGGGTTTGCATGGAGTGAATGTGACTAGACAAACAGTATGAAGGTGTTTCTGCCTCTGTCCACCCTATGGAAAGGAACTACTCTCGGTAGACTAGGGAAATGATGGCCCTAATAGGAGCCGACTTCTGGGGCCAAGGTCCCTTTGCGCCCCCCAATAAAATATTTGAGGGGGCTGGCCCCCCCAAAATTGATAGGCATTGCAATTCAAATGGTGTGGGTGTGCCCTGTCATGTGAACGATTCTGCGGGGCTGGGCTTACCTGCCCCCCAATATTTTATTCTTGTGGGCACCCTGATGGCCCTCCAGATGTCATGAACTGGCAGGACTTTGGGAGGAGCAAGAGGATCCCAGCAAGGGGTGCAGCTGAGACTGGGTCACATAGGGGCAAGCTGGGGATGGGGAAGGAGAGGTTGGTGTAGGTAGTACTTGCAGGGGGACAGAGGATGACGAGGGGTCAGTGGCCAGTGCACAGGAAACCAAGCAACAGGACCACTCGCCAGAACCAGAGAGGCCCCTGTCCCCATGAACACGGGGAGTCCTGAGATATAGGGAACAGTGGGCTGGCGCTCCAGGAAGCAAGCCAGGGCCTGCAGCCCAGTTCACTAGCGGGCCAGGTGGGGAAGGAGGTATGTGATTCCTCAGCTGAGCAGGTGAGAGTCACAGGCCTTATCAAGGCCAGAGGCTGCAATCAGCAGGCACAGTGTCAGAAGGCAGCAGGGCTGAGGTGCTGTGTCTGCTGAACTGCCCACATTGAGGAACCTCATTTTGGACACTTCTGAACCTCCATGAGTTTTACTTTGGGCATGACTCTGGACTGCATCCTGACTTCGGACTTGGATTGACCCTGAACCTCATTTTCTGTCTTTCAGCCTTCGACTTTGGATCTCAGACCGTGGACTTTGAGGATGCTTAACGACCCTCAGATTTTGGACTTGGTCTTGGCACACTGTCGGGCTGCCAGGTAGGTCAGGGGATGAGGACATCAGGTGTTCCTGGGCTACAACTCCCATCATCCCTGACCACTGACAAGTTGGGGCTGACAAGATTTGCATTTGTACATCTGGAGGGCCATGCGTGTCTCAACCCTGCAGTAGAAGAAAGAACAAAGACCTTTTGGGGATAACCTCAGAGCTGCCCCAGACGTGCTTTTCCATCCCTTGACAGTGGCAGCATCAGGGGGCCATGACATGTGTGTTGCAAGAAGGCGTCATAGATCTGCCCCACAGTCAGACAGCCCTTCTGTAGCTAACGCAACGCTTGCCAGTGATTCAGACCACACATTCCGCTGCCAGCCATCAAGTGCTAAATAATAATCGAGTGATGTCCTTGCATGTGATAATCAGCCCTCGCCTGAACGTACATATACCTAACACCGTTTCCCCTTTGTTCTCATAAATGCAACATAAACATGCTGTCCATTTCTCAATGTGTTTCTCAGGGGGGCTGTGAGGTTGAACCTACCAGGCCGACGCAGCGCGACACTCCCCTAGGAACCATCACAGCCTATTCTGGCCTCTGCGTCGCGTGTTTGGGCCAGCTTCCTGCCCTCGGACAATGGCCCTGGGAGGGGGAATGAAGACGACACCCAAGTCCAGCCCCAGCACTCCACACCCCACGGTCACCCTGGCAGGCTGCGAGCTGCCAGCTGGCCAAGAGCCAAGGCTAATCCTCGGAGGCCCATCCAAAAACACAGGAACCCATCCGGGAGTGATCCTCCCCGCAAAACAATGAGAGACTGAGGGGGAGCTCCCTGCGGTGGGATTCGGGACTCAGGCTGACAGGACGTGCCGAGCCAGCAGGCCAGGCAGCCAGCCGCCGAGATAAGACGCCACTGGGAACAATAGAAGGAATTGGGAAGGCTGCAGGCTGGGGCAAGCACCACCCAGACTTTGAAGAATGAGCCTTCTTGGCGCTGGAAGCTAAGTGGCCGAAGCAGGCTGGGGCTGGAGATTTGCTAGTGGCAAAGGAAGGTGGCAGTGGCGTGGCGGCAGCAGCTGGCCACACCTGGGCAGCTGCACAGAGCAGCCCTTTTGCAGGGAGCATTGCTGGGGGGTGCGGAAGCAGCTCTTTGAGAACCAAGCCTCACTGGGGACATAGAAACTTAGAAAGCTGGGTATGTCTAGCATAATGACTGGTGGAGTCTCTCCAGGTGTTGCTGTCTCCAGCTGTGGAGGTGAGCATAGTTGTCATGGCTAGTAGCCGTCCATAGGCCTCTCCTCCATGAATTGGTTTTAAAGCCATCCAAGATGCTGCCCATCGTTGCCTCCTGGGGATGCAGGATGGAGATGCCGGGGACTGAACCCGGGACCTGCATGCAAAGCAGATGCTGGTTGAACTTCAGGCTGGGGAAGCAGCCCATGCTTCTCTGCTATTAGGTGAAGAATGGAAACACACACAGTTGTGCAGTACAGTAGAGCAAGAACTGAGACTGTGGCTGTGTGCACATTGTACCTTTAAATCGCATTTGAAGCACATTTGTTTCCTCAGAGACTTGTGTACATGTCAGGTTCAACAGCTTACAAAGTAAGTAAAGTGAGGTATGAGTGAAGCGGTGCCAGGAGTATTCGTGGGACTGCGCCCGACTCATTTCAGATCAGCTTCTGGGGTGGGCAGGTGAGGGGGACTTGCCTTCACCTGCATTGGTTGGAGGGAGAGGGGCAACATTAAAACCAGGAGCAGGGCACCTGGCAGTTGGGGGGTGACATGCATTAGTTGAGGAACAAAATGCATGTGTGGTTTGGGCTGCAGACTGGAGAGAGCTGCCAGGGTGGACCAATCCCATTCCAACAGTTCATTCCGCTGCTGTGGATAAATGTGGGAAAATAATAATAGTGATAAAGTACTGAGAGAGGCAACAAGCAGGAGACGCTTGGTTTAGTACTTAGAGGCTAGGAGTGTATCTTCCATGATTCCTCCCCCCGCCCTTCTACCATCACCATGTCCCCTAAAAGAGCCTTGTAGGGAAGGCTAGAGCTTGGGAGAGGGGGGTGGCGCCATTGGCTGGCGCCGTTTAGCTGTTCTGTCTGGTCCCCTGCTTGTCTCCTGCTGGACCCCAGCAGCTTACCAGTGCTGTGTGCCCTCAGCTTGCACCCAAGCAAATAATAGTTTCTGTGTTTGGTGTAGTGGAGCTAAGAGAGAAAGCTGGAGGGGGGCGGGGAGAGAAGCAGAAAACCTGGAGTCAGAGCCTGTGCTGAATTGGGACTATGGGCTGCCCAAAAAAAGCATTTATTTTGATAGCAGCTCTTGGCCCAAGATGCTGTTTCAGCGAGAAGGTTCTGTTTATAGAAAGGGATTTTGCTCTGGTGCAGGTTACGCAAAGGCCAGGCTATCCTGCAGGAGACAAAACAAGTCTGTAAGGGTAAATGTGGGGACTCAGGTTAAACATGCTGCCAAGGGAGTTTGGTCTCTACAAAAAAAGAAGAGAAAAAGAGCCACCGTTTGTTTTTGTTATAATAGAGCATGTTTGAAATCACTTATCATGAATTACATACCCCCTCCATTCATTTTGACCACCCTGTAGTACTCACAGCTCAAGCGTGGTAAAGAGGAGGTTTATTTCTACTCTGGGATGTAGGAAGATACCGGATATTGAAGTCAGACCACTGGCCCATGTGGCTTAGGGTTGTCTTCTCTGATTGGCAGTGGCTTTCTAGAGTTTCAGGGAGGGAATCTTTTCTAGCCTTGTTTGAAAATGCCAGGAGTCAAACCTGGAACCTTCGGCATGCAAGGCAGACGCTCTACTCCTGAACTCTGACCCTTCCCTGGGGCAGGGGAGAGTTGCACTCTTGGTTCTGTGATTGTGAATTAGGAATTGGGGGTGCAAGCTCAAATATCCTTTTATGCCAGGGCTGGGAACCTCCAGCCCATGGGACAATTTTGGCCTGCCGGGGGTCCAAGTTAGCCCAGGAGGCCTGTTCCTGCAAACCATGCTCATCTGTGAAACAGCAGGTGTCAACGGGGGTTCATTCACACTTCCAAGCTTTCTAAGTCTCAGCAGTTTCACCCATGGCCTGCTCCCTTCCAAGGAAAAACCCGCTCTTTCGTGCTAAATCGGAGCAAACGTCAATCCGGAGAAAACCCAAATTGTCATTTGCTCTGATTGAGCACTAAAGAGCAGTTTTCTCCAGGTGGGGTGGGGTGGGGGAAGTAGTGGGAGAAGAGGAAGTGTTGATAAACCCTGAGTGATGTCAGCTGATGGACCAGGAGGCAAGGTTAAATTCTGCTAGGTTCTGCTTTGCCGGCACATTCCCCATGCAAAACACACTGGCAAAGCAGACACTTGCAGCCAGCAGATTGAACTCTCTGCTCACCAGCTGAGAGTAGACCCCCCTCCCCAAATTTCTGTTACTTTACTGTGCATTCATTCTGATTCATTTGTGGGGCACTTTCATCCTGCATTCTTCTTGATTTCTGGGGTGTTTATACATATTCCAATTAATTTGTTTGTTCATCCCACACATTTCAGTGCCTTTCCCTGTCACTTTCCTAACCGCAAAAAGTCTGGGTTTTAAAAACTGGATTTGTTAGGATCATTGAATTGTAGAGTTGGAACGGACCCCGAGGGTCATCTAGTCCAACCCCCTGCAGTGCAGGAATCTCACCTAAATCATACATGACTGATGGCCATTGACCTTCTGCTTAAAAACCTTCAAGGAAGGAGAGTCCCCAACCTCCTGGGGGAGACTGTTCCACTGTCAAACAGCTCTTACTGTCAGAAAGTTCTTCCTGATGTTTAGCCAGAATCTCCTTTCTTGCAACTTGAAGTCACTGATTCGAGTCCTACTCTCCAGTGCAAGAGAAAACAAGCTTGCTCCATCTTCCATGTGCAAGCCCTCAAGATATTTGAAGATGGCTATCATATCTCCTCTCAGAAGAGTGAGCATTAACCCCCAAATCTTCGTTTGTAATAAGTAGGATTTGGCAGCAGCTAGTGAGGAGTCGTGCTTTTCCAGGGATAGTCAGTGTGGTGCCCTTCAGGTACTTTTGGACTATGACTCCCAACAGCCATAGCCAGCCTTCAGAGCTGATGCTAGAGCAGCAGAGTAGTTTAATCCACCTTAGGTATACACACCTGAGTTTCTCAGCATGCGCTTGCATCCATCCAAAGTGCAGGAGCCTTGCACTCCTTTTCACATGGCCACCCTGCAGGGAGCTTTTGGTTGTGCCACCTCCACAGGTGAGTGGACCTCAGCAGGTGCCTAGTTTTGCCAGCCCCTGATGCCAGTTCTGATTTGAAGTAAGTGAAAGTACATTCTTGGACAGAGTTGCTTCCTATTATTTTATAGCATGGTTATGTGCATATTTTGGAAAATGGGATCCTTTCTTACAAGAATCTAGTTGCAACCTGCTGCCCAAAATGCCACCAGCTCTCCCAGCTCACTGAGCCCTGTTACCTCTTCAGCTTCTGACACCTTCTCCCCCCAGTCTCTCCCTCTGACCGCTCATCATTGTCTCACCACCACTCCCTGGCCTTGGTGATTCTGCAGCTGGTCCCTTCCACCATTCCTCTGCGTCCAACCAGTCTGTGACAACCAGTCTTAGCATGGTGCTAAGACCTCCCGTGTCTCCACCAATGTCTCCCAATGTGTACCATTAAGGGGAGGGCTTCCTCCTTGATTGCCCCCAGCAGCAACAAGCATTTCCCAACCATGAACTGCTTCAGCAGCTGCCACTGCCTCCAGCCCAGCACTCTGTCTGCTGCATTGGCTTGCCAAGTGTCCCAAAGAAGTTCGTGAGCACAGAAGGTCCCTGCCCAGGACCCAACAATCTTCTGCATGCTACCTCTGCTCTTGCCTGCTCCTATCTTAACACCAGTCATTGATTCCTTGAATTTATCTCATCCTTTGGAAAAGCCACGTGCTAGGCCTTATCGCAACATCCTATAGCAATGGATTCCATGGGTTAATTGCATATTGTGAAGGAATACTTCCTTTGGTCTGTCCAGCTGACCTCTATTGAGAGCTAGTACAGGGCAGATGTGCAGAGAGGATGATGGACTTGGACTGGGTGGGGTGACTTGGGCTGAAATCTCTGCTCACTGGGTGTCCTTGGGCAAACCTCTGTCCCTCCAAGACACTTCACAGGTTAGTTGTGGAGATAAAATGGAACAGTATGTTCTACGTATGTTCTTGTAGGAAGGGCAGGATGCAAACATGATACATAAAATACTGCTAATCGCTTCAGTTGGATGACGCTGAATTTGCAGAGAGAATAATCTCTCTCCATTCATGCCCTGTGATTCTACTCCGTCAAGACCTACCTAGAAGTGACATGAGAGATCCCATCCTTGCTGGTTCTTCTATTTTGCATGAATGCTGCTATGTGGGTTCTTGGTTTGGCTCTGAGCTGTGGTGGTCATGGAGTGTATCTTGGGGGTTCAAAGGGACCTGGGCCCCTTTCAGCTTTTGAGGCCCCAGGGTATAAGAAAAATTTAAAATGACGACACACAAAAACAAGAAGAGGCATTTTAAATTATTTAATATGACAAAAATCTATATCAGTATGCAAAATTGGGAGGGGGCAGATGGATTCAGCTAGCCTGTTCCATGAATGGAATCCAGAGCAAGGTGCAATGGGACTTCCCTCTCTCATCCCCCCACCTGCACTCTGCACCTCACCAAATCTGCCCTGGAGGGTTGGGAGAACCCCTGAGGATCAATCTCCTTAGTGCTTCGTTGAAGCCCTCCCCATGTCTTTCCCCTCCTCTTACGTGCTTAAACTTGCATGCCACATTTTCATCTGGTGCACATAAAAACAAGTTGCAAAACTTATCAGATGCCAAAAAATAAACAAGTGTCTACGTCTGAGACCCCCTTTGAGCTTGTGGCTCAGGCCAAATCCCTCTGCCCACAAGTAAGTGGCCGGGGTGTGACAGTTTTCCCATGCTGTTTCCTTGATTTCAATCCCTGCTTTCCAAAACTACTTGTAGCCAAAGGGGTAGAGAAGTCAGGGACAGTCTGGTGCCTAGCTTTGCCCCTCTTCACAGCTAATAGCAGCTTCAAGTAATGACTTAGATTTCGTTTAGGTCTATGGTATGAAATTATTACTATTTTTTGATACTCATTTCTTGATCCTCTGTTGTAATGAAGAGACATAGTTTTCAAACGGGCCTTGGCTTGTTTTGTTTTTTCTTCTCTTTCACCCCACCCCCACCCCCCACTAAAACAGACAGACAGACAAACAAACAAACAATCAATCCATGGTCCGCTTAGGAACAGGAGCTCATGCTGGAGAACCAAGGGAAATGGAAAGATAACAAAAGACAGTTTACTATATTGTTCCAACTAGGGAAGCGCCTGGTAATCAGGGATGTCTAAGGGGGTGGGAAAGCTGTCCTCATGCATGACTCAGAGGGCACCTAGAGGCATCAGAGCCTTGGTGCCCCGCACCTGACCCTTAGCACCCTGAACTTCCGCCCCCTTCCTGCCCCGACCCACATTCTACTTCCCAGAGGGAGGAGAATCCCAGCTGCCCAAGCCTTGCGATTGGCCAGAGAAGTCAAGCCCAGCCAGGGATAAAAGGTGACTGTAAGCATCCTGCCTGCTTGCCTGCAGCCCATGTCAACATGAGCAACCTGGCCTTGTACCGTGGCATCTACACTGAGGAGCGCTTCCAGCAGCTTTATGGGACGCCCCCAGAGCCAGAGGGCAGCCTGGCAGGGACGCTGAAGGGCAAGCTGGCCCAGGGGTGCCGCTGCTCCAGGGCTGCAGCCTTGCACTTGCTCCGAAGCAGGCTTCCCATTGCAAGCTGGCTGCCCAAGTACCAGCCTCGGAAGTGGCTCCTGGGGGACGTGGTGGCAGGGCTGACCGTGGGCATTGTGCACATCCCACAAGGTGAGTTTGTGTGTGAGAGAGCGTGTGTAGGGAACGCTGCTGAACTGAACGTCAGTGGTGATCCTGGAAGACATAGCACAGCAGCCAGAGGCTGAAGTGAAGCCTCTTCCTTTTCTGCACAGAAGTTTGTTGCAGAACATACGGCGGTGGTGGGCATTCTTCCCTTCCAGAAGTATCCAAGGAGATGGGGCGGTGGTAGAGATGAGTCGCTTTGGGAGGGGGCAAACCTGGGCACCATCATCCTTTCTCCTTTCTCTGTCATCTCCCCTTCCCCATGAAAGTCTCCAAGGATTTCTGATCTTTACTGGTGTGGATCCTCCTCCTCCTCCTTCTCCTCTCAAGTCCTACCTAATTTCTTCTCCTCACCTGCAAGATCTTCAAAGATCCTTCACCCTGTAGGTTCTGCTTGCTGACTTGATGCCCCTGCTCTCTATGCAACTGTTAAGCGTTTCTGTTTCCCAAGCTATCCCTAAACCTTCCAGGGGATTTACTCTCAGTGCCCCTTATGCTTTACTCTCAGTCTCCCTTATATCTTTGTCTGCTCCCTTGCACACACACCAGAAGAGTACTGACCTCTTATCCACTTCCTCAAGCCCTCTCCCCGGTTCACATACTTTTAAAAAAATCTGTGACCAGCTTTGCATCTTCCTTGTTTGAACAACAAGTCTTTTGTTTTCTGGTTTTAGTCTGGGATTTCTAAGGCTGCGCAGTCCTGTGCACACTTACCTGGGGAGTGAGCCCCATCCCCTGGAGCTGGCTCTGAAGTAAACACGCAAGGGTGGGGGGCTGGCAGCCTGTCTTGCTTCAGGAGCTGTTTCTCACTAATCTCTGAGGCTGTGGCTGTGTGGTGGAATGGCAGGGGGGTGGGAGTCAACTCCTGGATGTCTTTCCGCCCTGGAGGCCCCAGGTTGGACTCATGCCCTGCCTGTCCTTGTTAAGGTGGCGCTTCCCTTTCCTCCAGCGGCAGCCCAGGCGTAAGCAGCTGGGGTTAATGGAGCATGCATCAAGGGGTTTCTGGTCAGGGCTGTTCCTCCTCCAGATTTTGACAGTGGAAAAGAAGGAAGGTACAAAGAGCATTGGAGGGAATGATTTCAAAAATGTACGTAGATTTGTTTGACAGCCTATTTTCTTGCTGAGAGGTGGAATTTTCAAAATTCTATTCCTTCTAAAAATTAATTCTGGGGGTGGCTGTGTTTGTGTCAAGACCCTGACAACAAAGCAGTCACGTGACACCTCAAAGACTTGGCAGATTTATTGTACAGTAGTGCAAAGCTTTCGTGGATTGGAGCCCAGCTCACCAGAGGGATGACATGCAGACATGCTTGTCACTCATGCTGCTGACTAGGAAAGTGAATCCTAGTGCATGAACCCTTCAGGACTGAGCACACGCTATTGAGCATTCATCCCGATTTGTTTGCAAGGGGGTCAGATGATGTTGTGCCATAGCAAGGGTTATCACACACTTTCCAGTTGTTCCTTATTGCAAAAAGTCTGTTCCTTTGGGGGAGTGGGCTTGTTGCACAAAATTTCCTAATCAGCTGTAATTGTGCAGCCTGAGTGGCATTCCCCGAAGAATTCCTAATTTCATAAATGTGCTAGCGGCAGTGTGAGATATGGGATTGTTTCTGGACTGGATTTTCGGGTGGGATACAATCACATGCTAGCAAATTCGGGTTGCACAAGTATAGTTGATTGGTGAGAAAATACACTGGAAACAAATCAGAATGGATGCTGATTGTCATCTAATCTCCTGCAGACAAATCAGGATAAAAGCTCAGTAAACAGACCACCTGAAAGCGTGCATTCCCATATCCTTCCTGCAAAGTACTGACAGTCTGGAGGTGCTCTGAGAGGGAGGGTTGGGTTTACATGTTAGTGAGGCAGACACGCATCACATGTGCTCAAAGAGAGTTGGACTCTGGGTTCCAACAAACCCTGAGAGGGCCCCTGACCCTTTCAAGGATAAAGGTAAAGGTAAAGGGAACCCTGACCATTAGGTCCAGTCGTGGCCGACTCTGGGGTTGCGGCGCTCATCTCACTTTACTGGCCAAGGGAGCCGGCGTACAGCTTCCGGGTCATGTGGCCAGCATGACTAAGCCGCTTCTGGAGAACCAGAGCAGCGCACGGAAACTCCGTTTACCTTCCCGCCAGAGTGGTACCTATTTATCTACTTGCACTTTGACATGCTTTCGAACTGCTAGGTTGGCAGGAGCAGGGACCAAGCAACAGGAGCTCACCCCGTCGCGGGGATTCGAACCGCCGACCTTCTGATCAGCAAGTCCTAGGCTCTGTGGTTTAACCCACAGTGCCACCCGCGTCCCCTTTCAAGGATACCATCCCACTAATTCTGGGGTAGATCCTACATTACTTGAATAGCATCATTACCACTTCCATGTGGCTACTGAGCGGAGGAGCAGGAGCATATGGCACGATCACTTCCCATTGTCAGTTCTAGTGGTTCTTAGGCACCAGTGACATTGTCAGTCCTTCAGCAGGAGAAGCGGGGCCTATCAGTTACAGGCTGTGCTTCCGAAAGTTAGAACTCTTGTCCCAGCCGCTTGTTTACACTTGGGCTCCCAGCCGGTGGGGATTTTGTATAGCTCGTTCTGTTTGTTCTTCCTGCAGGAATGGCCTTTGCTCTGCTCACCTCAGTAGCACCAGTCTATGGGCTCTACACTTCATTCTTCCCTGCCCTGCTGTACATGCTGTTTGGTACGGGGCGCCATGTGTCCACAGGTAAGTGTGCTGCGTGGCTGAGTCAGGATGCAGTCGCCATAGACGGGCACCTGGGGCACTGCTCTTGGGCTCCACGACTTAACGTCCTCCGGGCAGATCTATTATTATTATTGTGATTTATTTATATAATTTATGAGCCCTGACCCTATGAACTATCTTGAAGTGATTTCACAATACAGTAAATATATATATATATATCCATACATTAAAAAGTTAAAGCAATTGCATATATAAAAACAAATTGAAACCTAGTTCAGATAAGATTTGAGATAAAGTTCAGATAACATTTGAGATAAAGCCTTGTTGAAAGAGGAAAGGCAGACACAAAAAAGGCAACCAAGATTGCAGTTATATCTGCACCAGTATAATACTACTGATACTAATACTATAAATAATGGATTATATACAATGTTAGTCATACTCAGAGTAGACTCATTCAAATTAATGGACACAGTTAAAATAGGCCCATGCATTCCAATGGGTCTGCTCTGAGTAGAACTTTGCTGAATACAATTAAATGTGCTTCAGATTTAAAGAAGTGGCTAAGCCAAATAAGGAGAGGAAGAAGGCTAAGGACAGGATAACTTGAGGAAATAATTTCTGCCCTGTCTGATTTCTCTCTGTGTGTATGAAAATGTGCATGTGTGCACTATAATATATTACACACATAACAAACCCATACATGCCGGTTTCCAAGATCCTGTCACACAATGCAGTGGTTGTGCAGATGAAGAGAGGGCCAGCCCTGCTTCTTAACAACTGGGGCTGCCAGGGTGGCATCCCTGAAGGCAACGTTTTACTGTCTCCGCTCCCGTATAAGTGAATGGTCACTATTCATTTTTGCAAAGGAAAATAATGTGCTGCCTTTGGAGATCTTGTGGTAGTGAGGACAAAACTTCACCCTTGATTCTTGGACCAGTCCTCTCTCACATCAATCCTGTAGAGTAGCTTTCATCAACTTGCCCTCCAGATATACAATTCCTTTTCATCACACATGCACACACTTCCAGGCCACCTGTTATGACAGTGGCTGCATTGCTTGTTCATAATAGTGGTAGTACATTTAAATTGGGCAATTTATAAATATGAATTTATAAATAATGAATTTCAAATGTTCCAGATATACACCCATATTTTTCCGTCTATAAGACATCCCTATGTATAAGATGTGCCTTATTTTTGGGGACTTGGATTTAAGAAAATGGGGGGGGGGAATCTATCTGTATACAAGACGCCCCCCAATTTTGGACACTGTTTTTTAGGAAAAAAACCTAGTCTTATACATGGGAAAAAATGGTATATTCTGCAGCATTTGAAATGTAAGAATGCCCCTCAAGCCGTGTTTGCTCTTAAAGCTCACATACTGGTGCATTGGACTGAAAATTGAGTTTGACTCTACTAGCATGCCACGTGGGCGGGGGGGGGGGGGGAGATCCTTCCACTGCCATAAAGCTTACTGTGTGGTCTTTGTCATTGTTTGTCAACCTATTCTGTTCCACCCATCCAAGACCTGTAGGCTGCAAATGGAGATTTTTCAGCTTTCTGAATGTAGAGAGAAATCCAGTGTATTGTTCAGGTTGAAAGTAGGAATGGGTGGCACTGCTGCTGCCAGGATCATGAATGAATGCCACAATGCCATGTAACTGAGGTCGCTATTTTTGGGTGGGATTCAGTTACATACTGGCAGTTATAACTGATTTGGAAGTATTTGTGCAACAAACCTGCTTCCACAAAAGAGCAGGCGATGGGAAATGCACTGCGATAACACTTGCTTTGATGCAATGGCATCTAACTGCCCTGTGAACAAATCAGAATGAATGCTCACTAAGTAGCCAATGTTGTCCAGCCTCCCTGCAAACAAATCAGAATGAATGCTGAATAAACAGGACACCTGGAAGCACCCCCAGGTTACTGTTGAGGGGAAAATAGGAATGGGTGGTAATGAGTGCCATGGTGTCATTCTCGCCCAGGATGGGACATGCAGAGATTTCATTCGTTCCTCTCTTCCTGCTCTCCAAAGGCACCTTTGCTGTGGTCAGTCTGATGACGGGCTCCGTGGTGGAGCGTTTGGTTCCTGAGCCCCTGCAGTCCAATGGCACCATCCCTGCAGAAGCAGCTTTGCTGGAGGCGCAGCGCATTGGTGTGGCGGCCGCTATGGCCTTCCTTGTAGGGCTGCTCATGGTGAGTCAAAGGGAGATGCTGGGGCAAAAGGGCTCCTTTGGGAAGGCTGAGCACATCACAAAGGGGCCAGAGCCTTGGAACAGTGCTATGGCTGTCGTCCTGGGAGGATTCTTGGGCTGCCCATGGCTAATAAGAAGGGCTGATAAACTAGGGTTTTATGAACATGGAGGCTTCAGTCTTAGCTATAGAATCATAGAATTGTAGAGGTGGAAGCGACCTCGAGGGTCATCCAGTCCAAACCTCTTCAATACAGGAACCCTTTGCCCAATGTGGGGCTCAAACCCACGATCCTGAGATTAAGAGTCTCATGCTCTCCTGACTGAGCTATCCCAGCTCTCTTGGCTAACAGCTCTTCTTATATCTCTCCTCCAGCAAGCTCACTTGATCCCCGCCCCACTGAAACCCTTTAAAATCCTTTTTAAAAATCCAGTATTTGTCTAATCCCTTTGAAGAGCCATCTGTTCTAAAGTCCATCACCACCTCTTGTGGCAATGAATTCCCTGCTAATTGTTTATTGTGCTGAGAACAATTTTCTTTTGTCTGTGTTGTGCTCCTGATGGCACCGTGTTATATGGCCTCTGGAAAGCTTACTTGGCAGCTCCTCTGGCTTTTGAGATTTTGGTAGGCCTAGCCCACACATTTTCTGGCATACTTCCACAATGATAAGGACTAGAAACTTGCTTTCTTAAAAGAATGAAAGCTGAGGGCGCTCGCTTTTGCACCCAGCACCACAATCTGTGTTTTTTCTGCCTGTCTCAGCAGACACACAATTCACGCAGCTACTGCTGCCACCTTCCCCTCTTCCCCAGACAGGGATGTTTACGCTTCACCTGGGCTTCCTTTCCACCTACCTCTCGGAGCCTGTCGTCAAGGCCTTTACCTGTGGTGCTGCTTTGCACGTGGTCGTGTCTCAGCTCCAGAGCCTCCTAGGCTTGCCATTACCACGTCCCGCTGGCTGCTTCGCCATCTTCAAGGTATGTGGATCCACATTCAGGGGGTGGGGGGGTGGGGGTGCAGACATCTCTGCTTATGAAGCCACCAGAAATGTAAATGCAGGAATTCTCATTCCTAGACACCTGCTCCTGGATGCAATCCATAAGATATTTTGTTCCCCTGAGCTAATATGAGTGTCCTTGTTTTCTTCACTCTCTCTCACTCCATGGTGCTTTCAGCAGTTTGAGTGGGGCAAAGGGGGCGCTGCCTCACCAACCTCAGCCTGGCTTCAGCCAGCCCCTCACTTACCTGCCTTCCTGCAACCATTCTAGAGTGTGTCACTGGCTGCCAGTTTAGTTCCAGTGCTGCCCTTGCAGAGGGAGGAGAAGACTGGGGACAAAGCTAGAATTAGTTGACTTATGGTTGGCCACTGTGAGGACAGAATGCTGGACTAGAGGGACAATTGGTCTCATGAGGCAAGGTGAGGTGACCAGGCAGCAGAATCCACGGGGCTAGCAGATCCCAAGATAGATCTTTATTCCCCCCTTTTTCTGATGTAGATCTTCCCTCACCTCTTCTTCCCTGGTGGGGAGACAGGCATTGTTTTGTGGTTCACCTCAGGGGCCAAAATACCTTGGGCCAGCCCTGATTTTGACCTACATTCTTGTGGCTTTGTCACTGTCTCTGGCTCCACCTGCTGTTTTCCTGCCACTGGCCCTGCCAATTCCACCAGTGGTTTGCTGAAACAGGCTGCCGATGAGTTTTGAAAGCTGCTAGAAGGTTCCAATAAGCCTAGCTGCTTCCTCCTCCCAGGCTGCTAAAAGCATTCCAGTCCACCCCTCGGACGGAAGACCTGGCTGCCCTTTGTGAATGCCACACCAGATGTCCGTGTTTCTGCATTTCCCCCTAGACACTGGCATCTGTTGCGGAAGCCTTGCCCTTAAGCAACACAGCGGAACTGCTCATCTCAGGCTTCTGCTTGGCTGTGTTGGTGCCCATCAAAGAGATCAACAACCGCTACAGGAGTCGGCTGTGGGTCCCCATCCCGGGAGAGATCATCATGGTACGTCAAGGCTGTCTTCTGTCCTACAGACAGCTGGTGACTCCCTGCAAAGGAAAGTCGCATTTTAACACTTACAAAGAATGTAAATCCAGCTAATTTGCTCATACTTCCTTTGTGTATTTCTTCTTCCAAGTCTGAGGTCATCAAAAGATTTGGATGGGTGGGTAGAGCAGGGATTGAAGAGTGGTGAAGAATAAAGTGTCGGCAAGGAAAGGCATGGATGCTGGAGATAGGGGGGGGGGAGATATAATTGGGGGGGGCAGGAGCTGAGCAGGGCACTGTGGATGAAGGAGTAAATTAGATCTGTCATTAAATGCATATTTTAATTCAACATGCACATTTTTTAAAAGAAAATACAAATAGTAGTCAATGGAAGAGGTGACCGATAATTATTCAGATTGTAGCCAGCGAGTTCAAATCTTTCATTCTATTCTGTGGTGCTGAAGAAAATACTTCTTCATAGTGATTACAGTGGTGCCTCGCAAGACGAAATTAATCCGTTCCGCGAGAGTCTTCGTCTAGCGGTTTTTTCGTCTTGCGAAGCAACCCTATTAGCGGCTTAACGGATTAGCGCTATTAGCGGTTTAGCGGCTATTAAAGGCTTAAAGGCTTAGCGGATTAGCTGCTAAAGGCTATTAAAGGCTATTAAAGGCTTAGCAGATTAGATAAAGGGGGGGGAAGCGAAAAAAACTCTCTAGACTCATAAGACATTTTCGTCTTGCGAGGCAAGCCCATAGGGAAATTCGTCCTGCGAAGCAACTCAAAAACGGAAAACCCTTTCGTCTAGCGGGTTTTCCGTCTTGCGAGGCATTCGTCTTGCGGGGCACCACTGTATATGCTTTGGGAGAAAATTTCCATCAGGACCACAGCAGAAGAGGATAGGCTTAAACAGGCCTTCCCCACCTGCTGCAATCCATGGTAATTATCCCCACCCCAGCTGTAGATATTTGAATTTAAGCAAACAAAACAAAATATGTAGGAAGATGCTCTTTAGCATCCTGTTTAGTTTTGCCCTAGTTCTGTGGCCCTTTGAATGACTGTTCAGAATCATTTTTATACTTTTGGTGGTCATTGCCAGTGTATTCAAAAGCTTTTTTTCACAGCCATGAGGGCTAAAAACTTGGTTTTTAATTGACAGAGGAGGTTTTCACAATGCATCATTCTGTCAGACAGTAGTTGTCTTGCAATAAATAAGGAACCACACAGAGTCAAAATGCAGAGTCAAAGATTCACAGTAAAGGCAGAAAAACTTTACTGAGGCAAACAAACAAACTTTATTAAAGCACTGTGCAAGCGAAAGTGAGCAAAGTAAGTCAAAGTTACATAGTCAAAACAATATTTGCATAAGAAGTGAACCTGCTAGAATTTTCCAGCACTTTCCTGCTTCTGCTCTCAAAGACCTTAGTCACTATGACACATTCTGATATTAAATACGGTACCATGTTACTTGCTTGTGCAACACATTGAGTTACAAAATATGCAAAACCTGGGCCAATGTAGTTCAGTCAGATAGCTAAAAAGGGATTTCAGCATACATGTTCCAAACTGGCCTGACCTTCTGTTTTCTTACCTGTACCAGGATAATAATCCCATGACTAGTCCTAACCCCGCTTGGTATAGAAAATCCCCCCTTGCTAATTCACTCAGACCTTAATTCTTGCAATATTTGGAGACTTTTGACAAACGCGAGATGTCCCTTCACAGTGAAGTATATCTGAAATACATGAGGATACACTTTGTGGGGATTTAATATTTGGAGCACCTAGCGGGACAGCGGCTATAGCAGAAGTTCTTAAAGGCAAATGAGGAGGTTGTTTTTAAAAGCCACACAGCTTACAGGCCTTTGGACTGACGCTGGGTCTGTCTGTCATTTTTTGGCAGGTACTGCTGGCTACTGGGATCTGTTTTGCTTCCTCCCTAAACACTCACTATAAGGTGCAAGTTGTTGGACACCTCCCAGCAGGGTAAGACCCCCTTTCTCTCTCTCTCTCTGTCCTCCCCATTCTCTATGCCGGCTGAGGGTCAAGTCACCGCTGCCCTGTTGGCATGGCAGCAGAAGTGCGGCTTCCAAACTCGGCCTGACCCTGGTTGTTGGGGAAGGGCAGGGCATGGTCTCTGTCCCCGGGGCACACGGTGACTCCCATTCCCCCATTCTTTCATGCAGGTTCCCACAGCCCCAGCTCCCAGCCCTGCATCTGCTGCCCCAACTGCTGGGTGACACGGTGGCCCTCACTTTTGTGGCCTACGCCATCTCGGTGTCATTGGCCATGATCTACGCTGAGAAGCACCACTATGCCATTGACCCCAACCAGGTGTGTGTCCAGCCTGGAGAGCTCAGGGTCCCCTCAGGGTGGGGAGGCAGAACCTGGACACCTTCAGTCATGGATACTGTTCCCTTTGCTTGCCAAGCCGCCAGACTCCCTAGCGCCTCCTGTTGCGTAGAAACAGAGTGCTGGGTTAGATGGGCCTTTGGGTCTGATCCGGAAGGGCCTTCTTATGTTCCTGTGACCCTCCAGCTTAAAAATTTTCTTTGTTTGTAGTGGAGACTCAGCTTGAGAGTTCTTCATTTCTTGCTGGAGGCCGGGGATAATGAACCCCTGGTCTTCCAGATGAACTACAGCACCTATCATCCCTGACCATTGACTGTGCTGATAGGAGTAGGAGTCCCAACAACATTTGGGGAGCCACTGGTTCCCCATCCCTGCTCTGGATACACCCGCCCACCGCTTGCTTCAAGTTCAGCCGGCTAAGACCCTGCTCTCACTTTGCCTTCCTCTGCCCCCCTACAGGAACTGCTGGCTCATGGCCTCTCAAACCTGGTCTCCTCCCTGTTCACCTGTTTCCCCAGTTCAGCCACGCTGGCTACAACCAACATCTTGGAAAGTGCTGGTGGACGCACACAGGTATAAGGCTGATGTTTTGGGAGCGCTTTGGAGAGAGGTGGAGAACCTACGCTCCTCTGGATGGACTCCAGCTCCCATCATCTCTGACCATTGGCCATGCTGGTTAGGGCAGATGGAAGTTCACCAGCATCTAGAGAGTCACAGGATCCCCATCCTTGGGCTACAAACGGACTTTCTTACCACCATCCCACTACATTTACATTTGTTGCTTGGAAATGGCAGGGGGCAAAGGGCTGGCTTCTCTGGAAAGAAAAGTGGAAGGCAAGACTGTTTCCAGCAACAGTGGGAAGGAGAGGATTAGCCCAGTTGCTGGTTCCAAAGCATTGTCAGCCACAGTGGTCCATTGGGATGAAAGCACCCTTTTTCCCTGATAGGGCTCCTTTGCCTTTTTTAACTACACAGCAAGCAGATATGGATTTGCCTGCTGCTAAATGAGACTTTTCCAGACTAAATAATAGTAACATATGCTCCAACATTTCTCCGATGAAAATAGGGGCGTCCTATTCAATGAGGAGGAGGAGGAAGATAACTATTATTTATACCCCACCAATCTGACTGGGCAACTTCCAACATATATAAAAACATAATAAAATATTAAACATTTTTTTTAAAAAAAACTTCCTTATATAGAGCTACCTTCAGATGTCTACTAAAAGTTTTATAGTTTCTTATCTCCTGGGCTTGGGGATTGCATAACTCCATACCCTCCAACATTTCTCCGATGAAAACAGGGACATCCTAAGGAAAAGCAGAACATTCTGGGATCAAATCAGAAACCAGGACGACTTCTGCAAATCCAGGACTGTCCCTGGAAAATGGGGACACTTGGAGGGTCTGTAATCATTAACAAATGTATTTTGTGAGCTGGAGATTTAAACTAGGATAAAGTGTGCATAAAAATGCACACATTAGTGAAAATGGTGTATGAAATGCAATATATAAGGGGAAATTGTGTTGCAAAATTGTGTGTATTAGGCAAAATTGCATACAAAATCATGTATATCAGAAGAAATCGCATGAAAATTTTGGTGAATTTTCATGAAGACTTTTTTTTTTAATTGCAAACAGATGTGGAAATGTAGAGAACTGAACTTAAATGGGGAATTCCTATTCATTATGCTCATGTATCCAAGGCTCACCTGGGTAGCTGGAGGTCCACTCTTTAGAGTGCTCATCATTATGGGGAATACAGGTGTTTATTTGGTACCACTGGTGTTTTCTACTTTACTGGCGTTGTGCTATACTAAGGCAGAACAATGTCCCTTGGTTGCCAGGGGACTTTAATGTCCCTTCCGTTATCTTGGCTGCAACTAACCAGCCTTCCTTGCCCACAGCTCTCTGGCCTCTTCACCAGTGCTGTTGTCCTGGTGGTCTTGCTATGGATTGGACCTCTCTTCTACTACTTACCCAAGGTGAGCTAGTTGATACTACCGTATTTTTCGCACCATAGGGCGCACCGGACCATAGGGCGCACCCAGTTTTTAGGGGGGAAATCAAGGAAAAAAATATTTCCCCCCCCCCAGCCCCAAAGAGCAGCGTACAGGCTGCATACAACCTCTCCCTGCCAGAGGGGTTGCGCGCAGTTATGGAACAAGCCAAGGCAGCGAGCGGGATGGATCTCGCTTGCTGCTTTGGCTTCCCCTTTAGCCCCGTGCAGCCTCTACCTCCTGGGAGAGGCTGCGTGGGGCTAAAGAATCCATAGCCCCGTGCAGCCTCTCCTTGCCGAAGGGGTTGCGCGCAGCTATGGAAGAAGGCAAGGCAGCGAGCGGGATGGATCCCGCTCGCTGTTTTGGCTTCCCCTTTAGCCTCGTGCAGCCTCTCCTTGCCGGGAGACGCTGCGCAGGGCTAAAGAAGCCATAGCCCCGTGCAGCCTCTCCCTGCCCTGCTATGGCACAAGCCTGCATTCGCTCCATAGGACGCACACACATTTCCCTTCAATTTTTTGAGGGGAAAAACTGCGTCCAATAGAGCGAAAAATACGGTATGTGTTGGGGGAAGGATAGGGGTTTATTCAAAGGGTAGCTCGTTATGCTCAGCCAACCCTGATACAAAATTAAGTCATGTGCTCTAGGCATCATTGATATATCTTGGTACCATATTTTACACAAATTCTGGGTCCCCTGGGCATCTTCATTTACTTGCTGTTAGCACAAAGGCTTGACTCACATGCCATATATTATAAGCACATCTCCCGTCAAAGAATCCGGGGAACTGTATTTAAAGGGTGCTGGGAATTGTAGTTCTGTGAGAGGTAAATTACATTTCCCAGCTGTTTGGCGTTCAGAGGAGACATGCTTTAAACGTACGGTGTGTGCAGTCATACACTCTTGCTACACATTTTGTTTCCATGCCAGCTGTTCAGCCTGGAATTTACCTCCTTAGTTTTTATAGAGAATCTGGTGGCTATAAGTCCTTGTTGCCAACCCATTTCTTCCCACTGATCTCTGCAAAATGGTAATGTACACTTGCAGCACCAGCCTGCCCAATGTGGACTAAGAGCATGCTATGGAAGCTGTTCAACGCTATTTGGCCTGTACAGTGGACATTTGGCTTGCAAACGTGATCTGTGCAGGATGTACGTTTGAAATCTGCAGCATTTGCAACCCGCAGCGGCACGTCTGCACACGCGGGGGTTGCGATTCAGCGCTTCTGCGCATGTGCAAAGCATGATTTAGCGCTTCTGTGCATGCACGACTGCTGAAACCCGGAAGTAACCCGTTCTGGTACTTCCGGGTTTCAGTGTCTCTGTAACCTGAAAAAATGCAACCTGAAGCGTCTGAAACCCGAGGTATGACTGTAATGAGAAACTTCTTCCCTGCAGCTTCTGCCTCCTGTTCAGTGTGACTGCTCCTTAATTGTTTTATCAGTTCTTGTTGAGCTAAAACTATTTCACAATAAAAACATAAGAAAGGAAACATAAGATAGGAAACTGGTAATTAAAGCTCTCCCCCCCCCCCAGCAAAGGGAACAGGAATTAGGACTTTATTTTTTAAACAGTCAAATGTTATGTAAATGTCATTAATTAAATTATTATATAAACCGTATTTTTTGCCCCAAATGGCACACCGGCCCATAGGGCGCACCTAGTTTATTTGGGGGGGAAATAAATAAAAAAAAATTATTTCCCCCCCAGGCGTGGGGCTGGGGCAGGGGAAGCCCGAGCTTCCCCCGACCCCACCCCCCACAACAGGCTGCTATCCGCAAGCCGTGGGAAGCCCGAAGCCTGGGGAGCGCTGAGCTCAGCGCCCCCCAGGCTTCTGGGTGCAGGCAGCTGTCCGCAAGAGGTGGGAGAGCTGCGCGACTTTGCGCAGCTCTCCCACGGCTTGCGGATAGCTTCCTGAAGCCTGCATTCGCCCCATAGGATGCACACACATTTCCCCTTCATTTTTGGAGGGGGAAAAGTGCGTCCTATAGGGCGAAAAATACGGTACTGAAGGACCAGTTAAGGAGGTCAGCAGTGCTGCATCCCTGCTGAACAGCAAGCAGGCCCAGGGTAGGAGGAGAAAGCTTCTAATGAAAGTTGTAACGGGGCTTTACTGAACTGAATTTTAATTCTGTTTTGAACTGATCACAGAAAAACAGTGCCTCAGTGGTGTTCAAGAGCCGTGGTATGGAAGTGGGACAGTGTGTTAAAGAGGCCCCTCATTTCACACTTCTTTTCTCTCTCATGTCTAGGCTGTCCTGGCCTGCATCAATGTCACCAGCCTTCGGCAGATGTTTCTGCAGTTCCAGGACCTGCCCGAGCTGTGGAGGATCAGCCCCATTGACTTCGTAAGCCATGACAGCATCTGAGAATGGACCAGTTTCTAATCTAGCAGTTGGAAATTAAGAACTGAATATGTTCCTCCCCTATCAAAAATGTTTACATTGCTACCAGGCTTTTGCAATTGGAGTGGCTAGGTCCACAGTTGTCAGTAATGGCCTATAGTAGGGATGAAGAATCTTTCTTTCTCCTCCACCCATATTTTGTTGAACTACAACTCCCATCATCCCTGACCATTGGTCATACAGACTGGGGCTGATGGGAGTTGAAGTCCAGCAACATCTGGAGGGCCACAGGTTAGTCACCCCTGTCATATTGGCAGAGCCTGTGGCCCCCATCATGCCAAACAGCCATGGCACTTGGGAGCATAATCTGAAGGCCATACGAGCCTGTCTGTTACCTCTCACAGTGAACTGGTGTGAAACTGCCTTGTGAAAGGGTCCAGTCCTTAGCCATTGTAGCTCCAGTTTTCTGAGAGGTCCTCCTGGCCTACTGTAATAGTTCCTTGCATTAGGCCAGTTTCCACCCAGACTTCACCAAGCCTGCCAGAAGAGTGTGCTTATGTGAATCAGACCTGAGTCAGCAGAGGGCAAGAGGGGAGGCTGAGCCAGTGAAGGACTGAACAGCAGGAGTTCCACGCTAAGTGACAAAGCTGGTAGTCAAAGCTGAGCAGTGCTGGTTGCGCCTCAGATCTGTAACCTCAGGTGCTCAGCTGCTCTCCTCTCAGGATTCCTTGTGATTCTATCCCACCCTTTCTCATCCATTGCAGACGTTGTGGGTGGTCACGTGGCTTTCTGTGGTTGTGCTCAACGTGGACCTTGGCTTGGCGGTGGGAGTTGTATTCTCCATGATGACTGTTGTTTGCCGCACACAGAGGTATTTGCTTGCCTGTCCTCTTCCTCTACTTTCTCCTCTTGTCGACTGTTAGATCACGCCCAGCTGCTAGGATTAGGTACCCCTAGTTGGGATTGTGGGGGGAGCCTGCAAGGCTATAAGATTAGGGGGAGGAGCTTCTTTCTGTTGAGGGCTGCATTGCTAGTGGTGGGCAGATTTCATACCATTCCTGCCCCCTCACTTGCTACCCCATCTCTCCCTCTCCACATCTCTCTGCTGGGGGCCACATGGGGAAGGGCTATGGCTCAGTGATAGGGCATCTTCTTTGCATGCAAAAGGTCCCAGATCCAGTCCTCAGCATCTTCAGGTAGGACAGGGAAATACTTCCTATCTGACACCCTGGAGAGCTTCTGCAAGCCATTGTAGGCCAGGATGAGGAGCCTTCGATCCGCCAGATGTTGCTGAACTACAACTCCCATCATCCCTTGCCATCTGCAGCTGATAGGAACTGCAGTTCGTCCACATCTGAAGTGCCTGAGATTCCTCGCCCATAGTGTAGACCCTTCTGAGCTAGTGTTGTCCCTCCCAGAAACTGGAGCAGTACTAGCGCGGAGGGGGAACTGCAATGTGGGCTTCTGCCACGTGGCCTGAGGCTCCTCACATTATCCTGGTGGTGCACGACTGAGCCGTGTCACAGCAGCTCCCATGCAGCAAAGGTCCCACGAGAAGGAGCCTGCGCTGGGGGCTGAGAGGGAGCCTATGGTTCCCTACAACCTTCCGCCTCCAACCATGTTTGCTGTATGTTGGGGGAGCTGTGTCCAGATAATTGCCCATTTGCCCTTCATGTCGCTTTGTCATTCTTACAGGGCTGAGTGCTCAGTTCTGGGCAGGGCAGGGGACACAGAGATCTACAAGCCTGTCAAGTACAACAGCAAGGTAAGAGTCGTGAGGATCAAGAGGGAGCAAACAAACATAGGAACACACGCCACGTGCATGTCTGAAGCTGCAGCCCCAAAGCACCCACTGCAGGGAGCATGAATCTCAGGGTTGAGATTGGTGGGGCGACTCCAGTGCCCAAGGGGGCCCAGTCCACACTAGTTGAACACACACATGCTAATCTCTTGATAGGCTATTTATAGCGCAGGTGGGGCACCTGTGTCTCTCCAGAGGCAGCAGAACTACAACTCCTCTCAACCCTGAGCATAGGCCATGCTGGCTTGGGGTGAAGGGAGCTGAAGTCCAGCAATATCAGAAGGCTTCCCACCCAGGCTTTTGAAGGATCAGAACCTGCAGGTGGGTGTGAGGTGAGGACTCATCCCACTGCTTCCCCCCTGGAAAACCCGATTACTGTTAAATCAAAACAAACGTCACTCATTTATTCCGCGGACTGAATTCAGCAGTAAACAGCAGATTTTCCCGGGGAAAGTGATGGGACAAATGAAAGCTCCGGACAAGAGGGAAACCTCTTGGACCCATGGTTTCTAGGCACAGGACAAGCAGAAGTGCGTGCGAGTTCTGAGTTTTCAGTGTTGTAGAATGGAAATTAGCCACACTGCAGAAGATGGCAATTATCCCAGGAGGATGCGGAAGGTAGCAAATGTAGCAGATGTTCCTAGGAGAGGGAGCAAGCCTCACTGTACTCAAGGGGGCCTGCCTTTGAGGTGAGATGTGTAGGAATGTGGTGGCAACTTAGGCTGTCATTCAAACCCCACTACCTGTGCATAAGCCCCATTGAATTCAGTATTTTTTGCACCATAACACTCACTTTTTTCCTCCTAAAAAGTAAGGGGAAATGTCTGTGCGTGTTATGGAGGGAATGCCTATGGGTGGCATGCCTACGGATTTTCCTCCTCTAAAAACTACGTGCGTGTTATGGTCGGGTGCGTGTTATAGAGCGAAAAATACGGTACTTCTAAGTAGGCGGGGTTAGGTCTGCGGTTTAATAAGGATCAGAAATATTTATTACAACCATTTGTGCCCCACTTTTCACCCTTTTCAGGGAACAAATCCTTCCTAGGATTAAACAATATTAAAATGCATGTTTAAAACACACTATGAACATTATCAACATATAAAAAGCCACCAGGATCCTTCCCACAACTAGTCTCCAAATGAATGGCCCTGTGGCAAGGTAGTCCTGCAGTAGCAGCCCCTGGTGTCTTCTTTGCCAGGTTCCCTCTTTCTACTGGGATCCTTCCCAGAGTTTGTGGTTGATCACTCTGGTAGGGGGTGGGGGTCACTGGAGCAGGCAAAGAGACACCAAAATTCAGCGCACACACACCCCTGCCTCTTGCCTTCCATTCTACATCATTCCTAGTGAGAGGGACATGGCTTGGGCAGAGACCATGGAGGCTCCATGCCCTAATTTCACCTCTGCTGTTGCTTGTCTGAATGGAGGTGTGCCTATCCATGTGGGTGTATAAATCTCTGTTTGCCTTACATTGCCTTTGTCCACAAAGGAAGGCAGCCCTTGGGCTGAAAGAGGTTCATCACCTCTGCTTCAGCCAAAAATTTGAAAGATGATGGGGTTCGTATATTCATTTTAGGATGGGGTTAATTTTATTAACTTGGCCACCCTAGCCAGGCACAATGATGCATCTGTACCCCATTTATCCACCCATCCCTGCTTCTTAGTGCTTTGAGATCCCAGGTGTGAAGATTATAAGCTACCAGGCTCCCATCTACTATGGGAACCGCAGCTTCTTCCGCGACACTCTGAGCCAACTTGTGGGACTAAACCAAGAAGGGGAGAAGCACGAGGACCAAGCTCCAGGCATCGAGCTCAAGATGGACATCAGCACTGTGGTAATGTGGCAACCCAGGGTGGGAGGGGGGCAGAAAAGATGGAGGGAAGTAGAGTGGAAAATTGGGAGTGGAATTCAGAATTAGCCAAGAATTAGTGCCTAAGCTTGCTTGCATTTTTCCTCTTCCTTTTGTGTGGAGACTGGTCAACTGTGAGCCTGAAGGCAGGGACATCTTCTCACTGATATTCATAAGCCACTCTGGGAACGCTTTCTCAGCTGAAGAGCAGGATAAAAATATTAGTCATAAATAACAGAATCAAGTTAACACAATTCTTGCTAGTCAGAGTGGGAGCCAATGGAGTTGGCCTCCATCCGTCTTGGGAGATAATGGAGGAGTGTGCCTTTGGGGGAGAACTCAGACTGCTGTAAGGCTGAAGCACCTGCTGTGGCTGTAGAGACTGATACAGGATAAACATGTTTTGTTGCAGCTGGGGCAGATGAAGGCGTCCATTGATGCACCATGGTGTTTCTTCTCTCTGCGCTTCTCTCAGCGGTCATTCCTCCCCTGGCCACTGCTATATCTCCATGACCTGTCTCCAGGCACTGTGGTCATCTGCAAGGGACTCCCACAGGATGGGGCTGATGTTACCAGCCTTCATGCCACGTTTGCAGACATCTTTGTAACCCAGAGTTGGCCGCCAACAGGCCTAGTGCCTGAAGCCAGCTCCCTGTAGAGCACATCCTTGGAAGATAATTCTGTACTAGATACAGACCATTTGATTCAGTAGAAGCAAAGAACTAAGCAAGTCCTATTGAGCCACGGACCAAACTAGGTTTTGCTCTAAAGCAGAGGTTTTAAAATAAATATAAATTAAATGAACAAACCCAAGGCTGGAGATGTTTTCACTTTGTCTGGAGTTTAAATTCTTCTCACCTAAGTGGAGATTAACTGTTGTTTTTCTTCCTAGGAGAGCAATGTCTCTGTCCTGGACAAAAAGCCTGGCTCAGGTAAGCAAAGGGCAATTGCCTTCCAGTTCCTGGTAAATCTTGCTTAGTCAACATGCATTTTGAACTCTGCAAAGTGGAAAGCTGCTTAACTGCCCCTTTCCTGTATTCTGCTGAGGATACTGAATGAGTGTGTGTGTGTAAGGGACTTGCCAGGAGTGTTTTTTCCTATGGAAGGACAAGAGTTCTATTCACTTCTGGTACTCAGAATAAGTTCCTGGGTTCAGAATTCATTAGTGCTCTCTCTCTGTGTGTCTTGCACCTGGCTCTGGATAGTGGATCTTGGCATTCTTGTAAAAATCAAATTACTTCTTGTAAGCCTTCAATCTTCCCACCTTTGAGCAAAATGCTGGGTGTTGTGTTTAGCTACACTAGACTGGTGTGACAGGAGTTGATAGGCAGGTTCTCTTCTGTGAACATAGAAAGATGCTTTACACTGAGTAAAGCATCATACTGGCCCATCAATACTGGCCCATCTGACTCAGTATTGTCAACACTGACTGTCGGCTGCTCTCCAAGGTATCAGATAGTCGTTTCTTTTCAGCCCGATCTGGAGATGCCAGAGGACTGGACATGTTGGGCTGGGTTGAAGAAAACAGTTGTGATCATGCAGCTGCAACAGTTTCCCATATGGAAAATGAGATTTATGTCTCCCCTGTGAAAACTGGTTGGAGATGGGATTGCTTCTGAGCATGTGCAGAGCGGCACATGGCAAATTGTCATTGATGCTGCTGGGCTCTGCCTGTTGGATTCATTGCAGATTGTGGTCTGTCTACTTTGTTCTTCCAGGCGTGTCAGTACAGGCTGTCATTCTTGACTGCAGTGGAGTGTCCTTTGTGGACGCAGCTGGAGCCCATCTACTTATTCAGGTACAAAAGGACACATATGTATGCGTACAAGTAATGAGGTGGCGCACTTGCCATCAGAAAGTCTGGGTGCTGAGACAATCTGGAAGCCAAGCTCCCAGTCTAGATTGCCTGCCTTGTTTTATTTATTTCACCTGTATTCTGCTCTTCCTCCAAAGAGCTCAGGGCTTAACCTGACTGAATGTTAAATGCACTTTTTGCATTTAATGTGCAGGGTGTTTGTTTTAAATGCAAACAGCATCCACCCAGGTAGTGGAGCTGTTATAATGTGGGCTAAAGAGGGAGCAACATAACCTTTCTGGCAATCCCTCCTAGTTGCATTAGGAGGAAATTATTCCATTAGTGCCAAGTCCAGTTTGACTCTTAGAGTAAGTTTCATCTGGCTGCCATGTGACTTCCCACTTAGGAAATCTTTAGAAAATTCAGTAAATGGAATGCTGCCGCCTGAGCATAGGCGTAGTCAGGATTTATGTTGGGGGGGATAGAACGAAGATATCTGTAATGCAATTGGTCAGTTAGTTAAGTATTTATTTATTTACTTGATCAGCTGCACCCCCTGCACCCACTAAGCTACGTCCATGTGCCTCAAGCAAAGGGCAAGGTGGTACCCCACCTCTGTCCTCATTCCTTGTACAGGAGTCAACCAGGCTGATAGTTCAAACTTACTGCAACATTGATGATGGAATAATATCCTCTACTCTGTCAAAGGGTAACAGGCTAGCTTAGGCAGCACAAGGTGGGCAAAAAGGCACATACAGCTCTGTCAACCAACATGTTGCCACTACTCTTTGCCTGTCAGCATTTGCTGCCTGAGGCAGCTGCCTCGCTCTGCCTAATAGTAGGGCTGGCTCTGATCTGATCAATTTGTCAGCCAATGTTGTTGGGACTACAATTCTCGGTCAGTTCAAGCACAACCCTTGTTCAAGTTAGATCTTTAAACTTACAGGTAGGTGAACAAACTGTGAGCAGCGGTGTCCCTAAGGATCTGTATTGAGTCCAGTTATTATTTATGTAACTTACCAATGAACAATTTGGAGTCAAGATTTTCCATAATGGAATCAAAAACAGTGACACAGACATGATAGATCCCAAAATGGATTACAGAGATAGTTCCCCCGCCCCGCAGTTGTGCAAATATCAGTAGCAAATTAGAAGATCACAGCATAGCACCAGGGACCTAGCTATAATCACCAAGGCAGCTTGTGGTTAAAAGGCAATGTTTGCAATTCTCTACTAATGGCTTCCTGTGCTTTGCAGGTGTGTGTAGAATGCCAAAAGGCAGGCATGCAGATACATCTGGCTTCCTGTAATGGTAAGTGAAATTAAAGGTGCCACCAGACCTCTTTATTCCCCCATTGATTTCCCGTTGGTTGTTTTTAAAGTGAAGTTGCACGTATATAAAGAAAGAAGGTGTGCTATGTTGTGTTCTGACGTATCTTTATATTGCATGGTTGTTATAATATAGAAAGATTAAAATCAATATATTTAAAAGGCAGCTTGTCCCAACGCACACGTTACCCAGAAGCAAGCCTGGGCTTGCCACCAGCTGTACACTCAGGCAGGGAGCGGCCGATTGCAACCCCTGGAAAGTATTCTGAGATGTGCATCTGGTGTACTTTCTGTTTTCTGTAGGAGTCCTTGAGCTGTCTCTTTCTCGATCAGCCACTTCAGCCTGCATGACTGAGGGCCAAACTAGAGGAGGCAACAGAGATTTGTGATTGGGTCTCCTGTTTTCGTTTCTCTACATTTTTGTAAAAAGCAGCAATGGGGGTACCCAATTCACATCAAAAACATAGTATGGTAGTAGCGCTCCCTATGGGAGCAAATGACATTGGGGGGGTTGTTGGGGGGAAAGTGCAGGGGAAATGGCCATTCCTGGCGCTCTAATTCTGCTCTGAATAGCTATGGGAAGGAACCAGTTTTTACAGAAATATAAAGAAATGGGAAATCCATCCACAGCTCTGTCATCATCCTGACATAGGCCACATCCATACCATGCATTTACAGCACATTGCTTCCCTCAAGGAATTTTGTGCCCTGTAGTTTACCCTTCAGAGCTGCAATTCATAGAATCGTAGAATTGTAGATCATCTAGTCCAACCCTCTGCAATGTAGGGATATGCAGCTGTCCCATACGGGGATCGGACGTGCAACCTTGACATTATCTGCACCTCACTCTGACCAACTGAGTTATCCATTCCTAGCACCATAACAAATCACCATTGCCAGAATAATTTAGGGGAAGGTTTAAAGGTTTGGTGTGGATGTGGCCAGAGTTAGGCCCTAAGACCCAAAGATCAGAAGTGCATGCTCCCCTCTTGACTTGCCACTGAATATGTGAACTGACTCAGTTGAGGAAGCCTTGCATACAAAATGAGAGGTAAATCCTGTTTGCAGTGGTTTTGAGGGGGGGGGGTCTTCCTCACACATGCAGGTCACCCCTCAAGGAACATGCGCCTGTAGAATCAGACCTCACCCATATCCATTTATTTCCTCCTTTCCATTTAGCCGGTGTTTTACAGACCTTGAGGTCCTGTGGCCTTCTCCATCATCTTCCCCCACAGCAGATTTTTGTCACTGTTCACGATGCGGTTTCCAACCTTCAGCAGACTATGGTAAGAGGCTGAGGGTGCAGACAGACAATAGGTGAGCCTTTGCTCTTGCTGGTTGCAATCCTGGCCCCTCTGGAACCAGCTTTGCAGCCCTGGGGAGGACAGGGCCTTACTTGGGAAATAGCTCTGTTTTCCCCAACAGCAATTGTGGGGTCATGGCTGTACCCATTGAGACTGAAAGTATAAACTCTTATCATTGAAATATTCCCAAGGGAAAAAGCTTTTTCTTAATGTCCAGCCTAGCCCTCTCTCTGGCATGGCCATTTTCTATGTGCAGGGATATTATTTTTCTATGTGGGAGCATTCCATCAATTGAACCCCCACCTAAATGGACTAATCCAGACACAGATTCACCACTTCAGCTGCCAGGTGAAGGAACTGGGCCTTCCGTTGCGGGCTTCAATGGAGGTTTATTGTGGAATCAGTGCTGTCCACGTATGCAAGTTTCCCACACTATCCACATGGCCTTCCCATCATCAATACCTGTACTGTTTTTAAACATTTAATCTGGATTTTTCTCTGACTGCAGGAAATTTGTTAAGTAACAATAACCCATTATAAATCTACAGTCACCACTGGTGTGGAAGCCCATCAATGAATTCCCTGCAATAAAAATGTGTCTAGGGTGATGTTGGGGTGGGGAGTCTCTATTGCCATACACCTACAGCTATTTGCTCCTCACCTGAGCACAACCTACCCACTTTCTTTCTAGTGGCCAAAATGATATTTGTATGCCTATTTTCAACCATTTTCATGAAGGCATGTTGGAATTTCAACAACCCAGTTTACAGCAGCTATTCTCAAGATCCCCCAAAAAGATATCATGGTGTGTGGGGGGGATTACCTGGGAGTCTGTATTATCAGGCATTTAAAAATTACTGTTTCAAACAGTGAGGTCTTAGGTAAGACCTCCTTATTAGAGTATCAGTATAGCTAAAATGTCACTATTGTGCAAGACATGGGTAATAATTTTTTTAAACCCACCAAAATGGAAATGGGGCCCAGCCACCTCATCCCCCAAACACAAACCTCCATTGTGAAACATAGTAACTAAGGGCCAGGAATACTTGCTTGTATTTTTTATGTACACATGCGAAGAATCTGAAAAGATAGTGAAGCATTTGGGGGGGGGGCAGAACCAGCAGTGCAGAAACATTTCTTCAGTGAGTGCCCATGGGTGTGGGCAGGAAGCAATGGAACACTTATGAAAAGTAGAAGAAAAAATACAGAATTGTGGCAACCACAAAATGAAAAAACAACAACCCACGTCTCAGCCACCCACTTAGTAGATATTGCACCAAGGCAGATGCACACCCTTTTCAGAGGAAAGTGGCTTTGGCTGGTTGACAGCTTGCTTTTTGTTTTGCAAGCTATTTGTTACGAGGTACCTCTTGTAGCCGGCTCCCTCGGCCAATAAAGCGAGACGAGCACCGCAATCCCAGAGTGGGTCACGACTGGACCTAATGGTCAGGGGTCCTTTTACCTTTACCTCTTGTAGTAGCGTATAAAACATGAGAGTTCTTTCTGGTCCCCATGCAATCCCACATATGGGCTCTGTGTCTGTGTGGAGCTGGAGCCTTCCGTAACAGGAGCAGCCAAGAGGGGGGGTCCTCCAGCTGTTGCTGGACTACATAATTCCTGACTGTGGGACATTCTGGTAGTGGGTGATAGGAGCTGTAGTCCACATCAGGACAGCACACTGGCTATCCCCGTTCTACAGAAATAGCAAGGGAGCTGGTGGTCTTTTTTCCATTCCTAAAGAGCATACACTGAGAAGTGTGTGGGTGCCTTCCCATTTCAGTCTCTTTCAATCCATGCGTTACAGGAGGGATAAGAACAGCCTCTATAAAGTCTGCTGCTCACTGCTTCACAATACCATTAATACAGCATGTTTAAGGTGTCCAAGGCACTTGACATACATTATCCCAATCCTTTCTGCAGCCATCATGCACCTATATTGCAGATAGGGGCTAAGGCAGAGAGACTAGTGAGCAAGGGTGCCTGGGAGAGTCCTGTTACACAGCATACAGCTTCATACAGAATTCTTTCTTTTTTTCTTTCCCTGCTCAGGAAAGTATGGAGATGAAGGACCCAACCATCTGGGTGTAACTGCCTCTGCATCAAATCAATCCATGCGTACCAGGACAAGGACTAGCTGAGATCACAGAAATGCTAGAGGCAGCTGGCTGCCTTGGAAACCAACAAGGCCCTGTCTGCTATAATGGAGGGCTGTCCTATCAGGAATGGACAGAGAGACGGAAGAGAAAGGAGGCAGCAGGACAAGACAGAAGCTCCTTCTCTTGCCAAGACCTCTTTGGCCAGTTGTGGTCTGTATTCATCTACCACCACACTAAAGGAGGGTTTGATTTGCACTCAATCCTATTCGATCTCCATCTCTTCTGGGCCCTTGTCAAAAAGTTTCGATACACCAACAACCAGAGATAAATTTTTTTGTTGAAAAAACCAACACAAAAAACCTTTATTCCCTTCCCCAAATCGTTTCCTTTATACAGGAAAAAAACGTTTGAAGTAATCACAGGTAAAGTCATTGCCAACAGGAAAGGGACAGTAAGCTCGTAAGATGAAAGGAAAGGAGCAGCCGCAAAACAGCAGGTGGCATCCAGCTATGTTTTACTCAAGAGTACACCCATGGAAATTTATGGATCTAACTTCATCATGTTCTTTAACTTCAGTGAGTCTGCTCTGAGCAAAGGTTAGTGGACTTCTACTCAATGTGAGTGAAAGGGCTGTGCAGCCTGGAATGAGAGGTCTCATTATAGCTGCAGCAGCCCCCACGGCTGGATGCAAACAGGACAGGAGGATGGGGAGGTTGGAAGATATTATTTCATGCAAAGGCTAACACACACACCCCGCTGCTGCTGCTGCCACCACCACCACTGAAGAACTTGCTTGCCAAATCTATAGCTAGCCACCCTAAAGACTGATAAACTGCCTTTCCCTCCTCATGTGGTTGGGCAGTAAGGCAACACTGCAGGGCTGTTGGGAGAAAGTCAGAAATGGGGATGATGTTCACCTCCTGGGCAGCTTCCCTCACTGAGGAGGGTTTCTGCTTTTAGTTTTAATTCTCTTTCACATCAGTATAGTTGACTCTTCAGCCTAGTATCATGATCTGAATTCATACCGTGTGTACCAAACTAAGCATTTGCTTGTTTAGGCTGAATTAGGAACAGGCTGTAAGCTTTCCAGTAATAGTTCCAAATCAATATGTCAACATTTTGAAAATAACTCTTGCTGTATTTGAAAGTGTTGTGGGGTGGGGGAATCTGTAGGGGTTGAATCACTCCCTCACTTAATAAATAAATAAATAAAGTGGCATGACAGCAAGAGAGAGGACCCATCTTATTTACATATCAATATGTAGGCTAAAACTAAAGGGGCTTCACCTGCCCTACTTTACATAGGGAGAGCAAGTGAAAGATTCAGTGCCTTACCTTTTAGCATGTGATTCTGCTGAATGGATAAACAGAGATGAGAGACTTGCTTCTGAGTCAACAATTGTGCTGTAAGTCCCACTATGCTCAACAGGGCTTACTTCAGTTTTGAATGGGACTTCAGCAGCCTCTGTTACAGCCAACTGACCAATCTAGCAAATGCCTTATTTGAGACCCAGTTCTATACCAATCTTTTTGAAACTGTGATCTAGCAACTCAGACATAATGCATCATCCTGGAACAAGAAGCAACCCTATAAAAAGCAAGAGGGTTAGGCTGGAGGGAGAAGGTAGGTAGAAGGAAAAAACGAAGCATCAATTCTTTACCTACTGAGGCATTTGCTTATCTGATGGTTGTGGCAGAAAAGCACAAGAGCACTCTCAGGAATGCAACATGTTCCCCCTTCTGAAGAAGAGCCATTTGCTCTGGGTCTATTGACATGACCAGAGGGAACCTTTAGGTCATGGAGAGAGAGAGAGAGAGTTTGGAGGAAGGGGGCGCTATGGTAGCACAACAAATATATTTGAACTTCACAGCTAAAGGGCAGTGATCATCAGTCCTGCTCCAACCACATTGACTCTTGCAATTTCCATATCTGTCCCCTCAGCATCACTCTCCCTGCTGCAGAAGTGCTTCAGTGCCTAGAGCTGATTGGCTAGTGCTATGATTGCCTCTCTGTCTCAACACCTCTGCAGTCAGTTGCAGATGAGCACTTCATAGCCAGGCTGCCAGGAAGGAGTGCACATCATATGGGGAATGGGGTGGGGAAAGCGTGTCATATAACAGAGTGGTCTTAATGGCTGCTGCCTACTTGCTGTAGGACCAATCCCATGCACTGGAACTAAATATGCAGGAGAAACTAAACCCAGCCCTGCTTCATAAGCATTTCACACCCCCAAAAACAAACAGCAGCTGTAGGAAGAACAGTAATACCGATTACGCAGTTGGGACCAAGAAGGCAAAAGGAAGCAGGGTTCAGGGATATGAGGGGGAAGACATGTCAAATGGATTTTGTTTGAAATAAAAACATTGCAGTCTGTTGTACACAAGTCTGCCTTCTTCAGCATATAAAAATCCTGCCACATTAGAAAATCAGCTCCCAGCTCCCACCCCACTGTCTATGAACACAGGCCACTTCTTCTGCAGGAGTGGACAAACCTGAACTTGTCCGGAGTTTTGAGTGTGCTGTTTTATGGCCCCTGCTGTCCTCCTTTTCTGTTGCTTTGCAGCAATTTATACCTCAAAGCTTCCCCCTGGTGGCTGCTTTCCATCACTGTAGTCTTTGGCACTTCAAAATGTCCCAGGATGGCTCCAGCTTGAGGATGCGTGAGGGAAAGGAATTGGGAAGAAGGGAGCACAGATGTAAAGACTTGGCACAAAAAGTTGTGGCACTGGATAAAGTATTGTGTCTGTGTGTGGCGAGATGCAGGGGGAAGCCCAGAAAAAAATGTAGTTGCTTCCAACTAGGAAAGAAAGAAAGTTAACTTCCAGCGCTCTCAAGTATTACACCCCATCCAAGATTTTCCATTTCAGAGACGTAACAGGGCAAAACAAACACAGGAACAGGTCACATCCTCCTGACCACCAAGGCTCAGAATCAAGCAATAGCACAGTCTCTCCATCCTGCTAGAAAAGACATTTTTTTCTTTTTAAAAAAAGTGGTCATGGCTGCCCATTTCCCCAACTGCTCTTTAAGCCTGAGGCTGCTGAGGCCACCCTGAGTTCTGGGGGTTTGGCTAGCTGACAGACAAGGCCATTTGCCTGGGGCTCTGGCCAATTGCCAGAGCAGGCTGCCTGAGATTGGTAAACCCAATTGCCTGAGGACAAAGCCAGTTGTCAGGGGTGAAGCTAAACTCATTAGCACCAGAGACTAGTTGCCGGTCATGCATTTGAAACGGTTCTTGAAGTAAAAGAAGCTCTGTTTGGTGGTCAGGCTGTTGTCACTTGAGTTGGGATAGCGGAATTTGGCATACTGCTTCTCACTGTCTGTCTTTAGCCATGGCAGCTTAATCTTTGAGGCGTGGTCCACCACCACATCGGAACAGGAACCGACATGCAGAATACCCAGGCCATCAATGAAGAATTCTGGAGAGAGAGAGAGAGGAGGAGGAGGAGGAGGAGGAGGATTAGCACGGTCTTCTGGATTTTAGCCAGGAAGCCCTCATGTGGCCAAAAAACCAGCTTAGTCCAGATATGGTCACTGGTCCTAAATTATGCTCCAAGCACCCACCGCACTCACAAGGGGTCCCGAGCACATCACTTGACTTGTACACTGCATACAGTTTCCCCCCGCTGCCTTGTACAAAAGTGCCACCGCGCCTTGCCTACACACGCTAAGCACCACTTGGACTGTGGCCGCATGACTCACCGAGGTGGGCAACACGACTGAGGCGAGGGTCAAAGCCAACCTGCAGAACCTTCTCGGTGCGTGCCAGGAAGAAGTTGATCACACCATCAGTAACCACGCAGTCAGGAAAACCTTCAATGACGTGATGGTAACCCTGGCGGATGTGCAGACAATCTCCCTCTTCACCGCCAGCTTGCACGCTGATCTGCTGGCGGTATGTGGTGGTGTAGCTGGTGATCTCTCGCACTGCTCCACCCACCTGCCAGGCACAAGAGAGGACATTTGGGGTGGATGCAGAGATGGAACAGAGTTTGGGCCAGACATACAAGGGACAGTCTCTATTGGCACAGATGTGTGGATTTACGCAAGAATTGGCCTTGAGTGTCTCAGACCAAATGCTGTCTCCAACAGCAGCCAGCCAGCCTGCTTTCCAGAGGTGCAAAAATGGCAACCAAAATGATCAAGGAGTAGAGCAGTTCCCCCATGGTCCCCCTCAAGAACATAGAAACAATTATGCTGGATCAGACCAAATGCCCATGCAGTCCAGCATCCTCTTCTCAACCAGATGCTATGGAAAGCCCACAAGCAAGACAGGAGCACAACAGCACTCTCTCCACTCGGCTTCTCCAGAAACCAGTATTCAGAGGCATACTGCCTGCAATGCGGGAGCATCAGTAAACACACAAATGATTTAAAACACCTGAAAATATCTAAAAACAATTCTTATACAGATGCCGACTGGGAAAGATCTATACTTAAAAAACTTGTTGAAAATAGAAGCCAACTTCAGCCTAATTTAGACTAGGTTCCTTCCTTACTGGCTCTCCCTACAAGCCTGATTTGGAGTTCAGAATGTGACATGTCCCCAGCCCTGCTGCTGTCCCCACAGATCCCTTCAACTATCATGGCTGTCAAGGGGCCCCATTGTGAGCATCTTTCTCCAATTCTAGAAGCTGCATTTTGCTGCCATATTGTATAATAGGTATTAGAAGGCTTGGCTGGAGAGATGTCAGTCCGTCTCTTCAGACCAAGGATGGAGAACCTGTGGCCTTTCAGATTATCCTGGATGCCCACTCTTATTATCCTGCTGGCACAGCTGATAGGAACAACATTTTGAGGGCCACGTTTGTCATCCATGCTTCAGATTAAAGAAATGGGGAACAGGAAAAGCAACTACAGGAAAGGCACTCACCAGATCCAGGGTAGTTTTCTCAAGGACATCTACCAGCTTCTCCACTTTGGTGCGATGTGTGAAGATGAAATCATCATCCACCCACAGAACATATTTTGTGGTCACTTGGGAAATGGCAAGGTTTCTGCCGGCAAACCAGCCCTAGAAAAGAAGGGAAAGTTCTGCAAGCACCGTTCACAACACGGCTAATGTCATTCCCCTTGCCCCAAAGTGAAACATAGCCATCTTGCTTTGCCATGAAGCATCTTACCATTTAATATCATGAGCTCAATCACTGGGCACCATACTTCTCCTTGGGCTCCAGGAACCCAAGTGTTGCTTCTCCCTCCCTGGCTAGTAAATAGTTTTTCATTCTACATTGGCAACTAGGGGGTCAGGTGGTTCCCTACAGAGTCCCAGATGAGACTTGTAGGTCTCCAGTGGCTGATCCCCATACTGTTCTCTACCAACTTTCTCCAGCCTGGGGTTACCTCAGCATTGTGGCCTTATTCAGCCACTACTCCACTCCAGTCACCATGTACCACAAATACAATACTGCATCCTTGTATTCCATATTCTAGTAATTCACATTGCTACCCCAATGTTGTAATCATTAATGTGGACTAGGCTCACGTACAAGAATACATTTAAACTCTTTACTCATCCTGATTGTTAGTGTAGATACAGTTAATGTGCGATGAGGAAAGTGACAGTGGAGTTTTCCCTTCTTAGTAGGTGTCAATTAGCCCCATTCCACCCCCATCTCTACTTCAGGAGCCTGACCCCAGAGCTGGTTGCCCTTAGATAGCACATCACAATGGAACCCAGCAGAGATTCAGAAATGTGCCTGAGGCTTCCCACAGCTAGTCTCCACACCTTGCCAAAGGGCATAAAGTACTGTTCAATGTGGGGTCCCTGCACATGTTCAGGGGTCTCGCTGTCATCAGCAATGATGATGGTCACGGTGGGATAAAACTTGCGGATGCTGCTGATCAGTGTTTGCAGCTTGTCATAGCGCAAAAAGGTCTTCGTTGCTATGGTGACCAGGGCACTGATGTCGTATTCTGCAGAGGAAACACAACACAGGAGAGGTTGGAAAGGTTCTGCTGAGGGATGGCTCAGAGGGAGTGGCTTGAGAAGCCTTGGGCAGAAATGGATATCCTTCACGGTTTCCAATGTTGAGATTAAAAGAACAGCATATCCAGCAGCTATCTGCTCATTTAGAGGACTTCTATATCACCTTACAACAATGCTTCCAGGTTGGTTTCCAAGGAAGAAGGCACCAAAAAGACGGATAGAAATGAAACAGCGAGGGCACCAGGTGAACCACTCAAGAGAGAGAATTCCACAAGGGCGGCACCACAGCTGAACAAGCACCATGGTATCCAACTCTGTTGCAGTGGGTTCTTGGGCTACTAGAGAGCAAGAGATACCTTGAAAAGACATGCTCCTAAACACAATGCTTACTATGAACCAGGATTACTATAAACTAGTTACATGACTCCTGAGCATGCTTACCGCTGCTCTAAGCTGTTGCGCCCTTATGTTGCTATAGCACACAAATGGGGGTGGCAAGCAGGTGGCAGGGATGGCATGCAGCCCTGTGCAGGGCTCCATCCGAGCTCTCCCCTCAAGGCCTGTGGTGAAAATCAGAACTTAATCCTGGAACAATTTGAGACCAAAAAAGACGAGAGAATCTCTAAGGATGTGATGAGGACAAAGACTGGGGTGGGGTAGAGTGTTGGGGAAAGGAAAGACTCTTACTTCTGATCATCCAAGTCTGAAGTTGGACACAGCAGACGGGCTCGAAGGCCAGGCCGCCCCTTGGAACATTTGTGTGCTAGACACCTCATGTGTAGTACTCACCGCCACTTTCTCCTCTACTGGAGGGTCCTGGATTGTAGAGCTTGGGCGTAGGCGCATGGCGGATGCGGATGATGAAAGATGCATGGTGCTCATCGGTAGAAAACTGCACTGGAAAACAGAGGAAGGAGCAGAACACCAGTCTAGAGCTGTAAGCACTTGAAAACAAAGCTAACACCACTGAACGTGTTTCTGGCCTAGGAGCTCTGGTGCAGTAAGCTAATTTTAGACTGAGCTTAATGTTCTTTAGATGATAATGTGCATTACTCCAAAATGTGGCAAGCTAGCCCTGCTGCACTTGAGGGTCCCTTCTGAGTGGGACTCTAGACTTCAAAGACTCTCTGCTACAAAGGCCTTTTCTGTGTGAATCACTGGCTGTGGGCTGATGTTTCTCTACCATTCACACACACATAGTACGAACTGGTACATTCTAAGGACCAAGAGTTTGAGCTGGCCAGACCCAGATTTTAAAAATCTCACCTCAGCGATGACCTTGGTGGCTGCCTTTATCCAAACCACTGTCTCTCCTCAGCACTCACCCTTCAACTATAATATGGGGATAACAGTTTAGGTCTGAAGTTTCTGTTGACAGGAGCAGCCTGTGAGTGGAGTTCTGTTTACATTATGCTCCCATCAGCAGAAAGGGGGAAAGGTGTGTTTTGCTGATCTCCCCTTTCCTCTGAAGCCCTTCTACATACTGAAAATCTGCTCTGGAAGTTTGGGGAATCTGGAGAACCAAAGGCTCCCGGATCCCTGCTATAGATACTTACCTGGGAGTGAGTCCCATTGAATTTAACCAGACGTCTAAACAGACATAGATAATGCCTAGGAGTGTGTTTTAAGCCAGGGGCTGGCAAACCTCACGCTTGCAAAATCTACTTCGCCTTTTGACTGGAACTTTGAGGTCCACCAGGCAGAGCCAGGTGCAAAATATCAGCCATCCATGAGAAGACATTTATGCAGATTCCAGCTTGCACAGTTTATTAATTTCCACAGTTGTCAGCCTAGCAAAATCACACATCCCCTGTAGCAATCTGGCAATATCTTTCAGAAACATGGCATTTCTTCATTTTTTTAATAGCATCCTTCCTTGAGCTACTATCCTGCCCTATCCCTGGGGCCACAGGGTATTATACTATTAAACAGAACAAAAACAAAAAATAAAATGAATTTTAATTACCCCCCCCCCAAACATACACTACTTACGTAACTACAGCCCCCAAATGCCTGGTCAAACTGAAAGGCATTGCATTGCCTAAAATTGTATATTTTATTGTTGTAACCCGCCCTGGGAACATATGGCAAAGAACAGGTAAGAAATCTAATCAAATCAATAAATGCATACACTAGTCAATTTTTGAGAGTGGGGAAGGCAGAATTCCAATCACAGCAACAACAGTCTCTACGCTCCCCTCCATGTATTCAGAGCACTTCACCATAGAACTGCCACAACAGGAACAGAGCTGGAAGAGACCCCCAGGGTCTTCCAGTCCAATAGGATAATGCCTCACAAGCAACTTAACCTTTTGCACATTTGCCACATTTGCAAGCAATTGTGAGAACACCTGCTTGCACCTGACATGCCGACCTTCACCTTTATCTGTCCTTGTCCCCTCAAGGGCCCACAATCCTTACTTGGGGGGGAAGTGGGAACACTAGCAGCAGGAGCAGTGGGAACTGGCATTATAGTGCCATCTTTTTTGCAACCCCAAGTTCTCCCCTTGGTGAAAATGAACATTCAGCTTGAGAGCTCCTTCACCCACCCTACTTGTCCCTGCAACCACAGGTACGTTGTTGGATCCTTGGGAAGAAAGTGGGGGTGATGAGTACTCAGTGTCTGAATTGCGAGTGTAACTCTGAGGTTACGAGTGTGGCCAGGCTCAACTCCCAGGTATCTGCAAGGAGTCTGCTTCTTCCAGCATCCCAATTAGTTCTCCTGTATAGCAGACAGAAGGACTGGGTCTGAGGGAGTCACCTAATAGCAGAGGCACAACTTGAACTGGAGACTAGTTAGCTCTTAGCTCACATTCTTAGCGCCCATTTTGGACAGTAGCTCAAAGGATGTATCTGATACATCCTGTCAAAAAATAGGCCTACCACAAAGCCTTTGTTCATATCCCCACAACGGTTTCCATTTTGTTCATTTTTTTCTCATTTGTGCTGCCTTGTGACAAGATTTCCTTGGTTCTGTGCTGTGCCATCCTGTGCCTTTCCCCCTGTTCTCTGCAATGACACCCCAGTGCTTTGAAATGCAATGAATGCCCCTTCTGTACCCACCTGTATCTGCTGTGTTGGGATGGAAGAGTGTGTTGGTGTAGGTGACAAACTGCATTTGCCGATTGAGGTTGTCCAGTTGGGATCCTGACATGATGAGTTGCATGCCCCCCTCCCCTTCCACTTTGACCCCTTCCACTTCTGCAGCCACATCGAAAGTGCCCATAGTAGCTGTCAAGTTGACCTGTCAAAGGGAAAAAAGCAGGGTCAAGAATGAAGGAAGCCAGCTTGTGACTTTCCAACAGGGATGGGAAACAGAGATGGCCCTCTATCTTGCTTAGACTACAGTTCCCATTACTCCTGGCCATTGGCCAAGCTGGCTGGGGCTGATGCAGTCTAGGGCTGTCATATACCTGGGATTTCCTGGACACATCCGGTTTTGGGGGGCCAGCATTTGGGTGGATTTTTGCATTTTGGATTAAATGTCCAGGTTTTATTTTATTATTATTTTTTGTGGAGCACGCCCATGTTCAGAAGGCACTGTGCCCAGGAACAGAAGGCAGGCATCGGGTGGCCTGGAGCAGCCTGCTGGGGGTCGTGCTAGGCCTGGTGTTGTTCCTGGCCGCACTAGGCCCCGCGCTGGTCCCGGCAGTTGCCTGGCCTTGCGTGACCTTGCCGGGGCCGCTCAGCCTCCCATCGTGAGCAGGAGGCCAAAGACAGCAAAGAGAGGGGAGGGAAGAAGGGGGGAGCAGGCAGGAGAGGAAGGGGTTAGCGGCAGGGAGGGGCGAGCAAGGGAGATGCAGACTGGTGAGGGGTGCCCCGATGGTGGTGGGGTGTCTGGGTTTTTGATCCCTGGAATACGGCTACCCGTCCCCAAACATGTAGAGGGTCACAGGTTCCCCACCTCAGCTTTAGGATCTCTCTGGTAAAATGGTGTGCTGGGAACAGAATGGAAAACTTTATAGGATGTTCCATGAATCAAAATCTAACGAGACCGGTTTATACAGCATATTTTCTGCAGAGTACAAATTTGGTTACATGCAAATAAATTACAGGTACACAGAGCAATCCTAGATAATTTGCATGAACCTGCCGCAAGGTTTGGTTTTTTTCAATCAAGATAAGCATGGTTCTCTTGGTGGTCACACCCAGTAGTTGCTGTGACACATGAAATTTGCTTAATCCCACATCCTTTGCTACTTTCCATTGATTGTGAAAACGTTTCTGTTTTGGCAAGCTTTTTTCAAGCTGGGCAGATGGAATTTAATATGGTGACTCCTAATTAGTCCCTTTATTTTAAAATTTGTGTTTTATTGATTTTTAGTTACAAATGAATATATATATATATATATATATATATATATATATATAATTTGTAAATGTTTGATTGCTTTAAGTTATTGTTTTTATTTTATTATATTCATTATTTATTTCAGGATTTATGAACCACTCTACATTCAGAGAATGCCCAAGCAGTGTGCCAAAGTAACATATATATTAAAAATACAGATCATAAAAGAGTCTTAAAACATAAAAACCAACTGCAGGAAAAAAATACTCATTTGGAAAGCCTTGGGGAGGGGAATTAAAGTTTTCAGCAAACGTAAAAAATATAACGGTGCTGGGACTTTCTTTGCTGCTACAGGAAGAGAATTCCAGAGGACTGGAAATATCATGGCTTGCAGTACTTTGGCTGATGCCTGACTCTCTGAGGAATGTGATTGCAAAATAAGGGTAGGGCATAAATCTTTGAACAAAGAAATGAGTGTTTGCATTTCTTCAGAACTTGACATTGTGCAACAAGAAGTGGTGCCAGGAGGAAACAGCTGGAAAAGGGAGGGACAACAGGAAGACAAGAGGGCTGGGAAACACAGGCAGAGCTCAACCATACTTGGCTTTTGTCCTGCTCTTTCCAGGGCCAGGCCCTGCTTAAAAGCTCAGTGCCTGAGCATTTTTTAATTCCTTTGTTATTGTTTACCCCAGAGCTTTCCCCACAAAACCTACTCTTTAGCACACATTTGGAGCAAACGTCAGTTCAGGTTTCCCGCAGATTGAAAATGCATACTGCTCAACCATGCTGATTTCAGCGGGACATCCCAAAATTACAGAAGCCTTCTGATTGGATCCCAGAATGTCCTGTGCTTTTTTGGTCTGGTGCTCTGGTGCGATCCAACTGGCTCCCGTGAGAGTGGACCCAAAAACGAGTGTCCTGATTTTGACTAGCGGGATGTTGGAGGTTTTTCCACAGGGAATGCTCTGGGGGGCGTGGGGGGGGGGCACGTGCTCAGACATGAAGCTTTAAAGCATGGACCTGTGCCTGGGAAGAAGCTGCCACATCTAGTGCAGTGCTGCTCACACCCTCCCAAGTGACACCCCCTTCACCAGCCCCACTCTGCACCCTCCGCAAATCTTTTTGCCTGGCTGGAATGAGTCCTTGTTCTCTGATAATGTTTATTGCTTTCCTGGGTGAAGAGTAAAGGGGTTTGTGTATAAACTAGCCTACTGTATAAAGATAAAATTCACATGCAATGCTCCACCCACTTTTAATAAATAATAATATAATAAAATAATAATATTTGTGCCTTGCCCATCTGACTGGGCTGCCCCAGCCACTCTGGCCCTGCCCACCATTGGCACGGGGCCTCCAGACGTTTGTGCAGAAGGGAGTGTGGCCCTTGGGCTGAAACAGGTTCCTCACCTGTATTAAAGTGATAATCAACACTTAGAATTGAATCCCAGAAACCCACCGGAAGCCCCCCAAACCGGTTGAAGAGAGGAGTCACATGCTCCAAACAACCAGCTCATAACTGCAACTGCATACAGTGGTACCATAATGTGTTCCGGAGGACTGGTTGTAAACCAAAACAGGTTGTAACCCAAGGCGCGCTTTTGCCAATGGCCCACCCCAGTTGTTTGTAATCCAAAAAAAGGGGCACGCACTTCCGGGTTTGACGTGGTTGTAATCCAAAGCGGCTGCAAACCAATGTACCACCGTAATATATAAGACAAGGAATCATCACACACAGAGAGACACAAGATCCCCCGGTGGCTTCATGGCCTCAGATTATCTAAGAACACCCAAAGAGATAACGCACACTAGCCATTTGTCAAAGAAACAGGACCAGTTTATACATTTAGCAGAATCAAGCAGTAACCATTTTTCCGGCCTGCACCATTTCAGGCTATAGGTGGGATAATATGTGCTTGAATGCATTCAAACATGCAACTTCACCTGCTGCCTCAGCGGAAAATTCAAACATGCAACTCCATGTGCAACTTAAGTGGTACAACCAGCCTTCCTTTTTGCAAGGATACAGGGATGTTAGAAACTAATCAGGCTGAGAAACCGTCACCTAATCCCTGCAATCAGATCTCTGTGTCCCAAATACCTTACCTGGTACAGAGCTCTTTCAGCTGCTTGTAGACTCAGACCTGAGGAATAAAAATGCACAAGGAGGTTAATGAATTTTCACCTTTCCCTGTTCCACAATAAGAAGTCTCCGTGCCAAGCCCACCACCTTCCACAACAGCACGGTCCCCTGTTCCCCAGACCTGCCACCCCCATAGTTGTTTCCTTCGAGACACAAGTGGAGGGGAAGAGACTTGCCTGGGATGAGGATGGTCCGGAGGGGCCGAACTTCCACCCCTTGAACTGGATACTCTAGAGGTGAGTTGGCTCGGACAATGAGGAGCTGGTCAGATGGAGAATGGGACCTTGGAGAATGGAAAGGAAGAAGGTTTAGGGATGCCAGCCTCTGGCTTTGACAAGGTGCTCCTACATCTTTATCCATTGATATAAATATTTGTAGCCCACAATTTCATTTTAAAAATCAAAGTGGATTACAGTGATTTTAATGCAGTAGAAATCAAACAAAAATTAAAACAGATCACCAGCTGACTACTTAATTTTAAGAACTATGTGGAAGAGAAGTCCAGTAAGCACACACTCCCTCAAAGCTGTGCCTGACAAACATCTCCATTCTGTGTCAAAGGAAGACACAGGAAGTTGTTCCTTCACCTTCATTTGCTGCTTTGACTCTCAGTAGCTAGTTGGTGGCTAATTCCCACAGAAGTAAATCCCACTGAGTTCACAAGTTTCCTGCTTGGCAGGGGGTTGGACTCGATGGCCCTGGTGGTCTCTTCCAGCTCTATGATTCTATGAAGTCTTCCACATGAGATTGCTTAGGATTGCAGCTGCCCAGAGTGAGCCTTCGGAAATGTGCTTAGGACTGCAACCACAGATTACAATCCTGTGTTTACTCAAAAATTTGTCCTGCCAAATTCAGGGGGTTTACTTTACGTGGCTGATGAGTTAAATTCTGAAGTGCAGGTTCTCTTTGGGACAACCCCCATAGCCACATACCTTCTAGGATTATACTAGAAAAATAAATGCTTGCATTGCAGACTTTATGGCATCAATGCAAAGTCAGCTTTTTCCTCACCACCTTCTGTTTTTCTAAACATCCAGCCTTGTAAGAGTTCTGGTGGTCTCAAAAGCTTGCTCACCATTTTGTGACATTTCCATTGATCAGAACAAAGAGGCTATGGATTCCCACCCCAAAAAAATAAATGTGGCAGTCTAACCCTAAGCCATGCATGCTAAAGTAACCTGCCTCTGCCTAGCATATTTGGCGGGTTTCTCTCCAAAAAAGGGGATTTGTATTGATTTAGATTGATTTAGGGAGGCAGCTGACACCCCCCCCCCCCGCTACGTCCATGATGTACCACCCCTCAAGCTGGGAGGAGGCACCAAACAACCGGCCCTTCACTCCGCTGTGGTACTGACCAGTGGAGGTGACAGAATACGAGGCCAGCTTTCTGCTGAGGTGCATTTCTGCTCAAGCAAGGCAGCAGCTATGGAATCTGCAGGAGTCTATCTAACATGAGCTGTGTGCCCATGTGAGGAAACATGGAAGACGATGGAGGCTACATGCCAGGTCAACCACACACTGGAGGTGTGGAGGGACCGAAATAATTAAAATCATTTAGTTAAGTTGTCTTGAAGAGAAACTGCTGGGTGGAAAGAAAGCAAGGCCATATTTGATGTGATGGAAATGGAGTAAGCAAGCCATGTTACAGATAAGGAAACATCAGGAGAATACAACAAATCACACTGTAGAAGCTTCAGAGAGAATTGCAGATCAAGCACTTTATGCGTAGCTGACGGTGCAAAATGGGCAGCAACAAAGAGGACTAACTGCACATGTCAAAAGGTGTAAACTGGTGAGTGTCACTAGAAATAAGCTGTTGGTATTTACAGTGACAGTAACCATGTTATCTACTTAATGAGGCAGTACTATTTTAAAGTAACCACGTCAGCAAACAGTAATATCTTTGTTAAATACAGTAAATATATCTGAGTGGTTTGTACAATGTCTAGACCCCAGAGTTACCAGAGTTGTTGGTAAATTAAGGGTTTAAAGGGTATAAGTGATATTAAATGGTTACAATAGTGCAGGGTTAGGAAAAACCACTGGAATGGAAGCTGGGCTTTGTTAACAGGATAAGCAAGGAAATATACACAGCCTTTCCCTAAGTCTGGATAATATCTCTGGTCAGGAGTACCTTTTATGGTTTAATTCTCTGCTGATGGAACAGGAATCTGCTGCCATTCTATAAACCATGCACCGCCCAATAGTTTCCGGCTCCCATGTGAGATTCCCCTGTTACCATCATCTGCGGTCCTGTATAGAAGGATGGCAACAAGTAGCAGGGCCTTTTCGGCAGCTGCTCCTTTGCGACAGAACTCCCCACCAAGCATGTGTGGCGTGATCAAGGAACCCACCGTGCCACAGGTGAAGCTCACCTTTGCTGGTAACTGCGGTACTCCTGTTTTCGCCTGCTGTTTATCTCTGGCAGTTCGGAAGGACTGAAGGCGTTTGCGAATTCCAGAGAATAGATGTGACCAAAGAGCTGTTTCTGAAGTGGGAAGTTCATACTAGGTTCCACCTCACACTTGCAGGAGTTCTTTGGAAGGAGCCTGGGAAGGGACAAGTACATGTCAGTAAACATTGATGAGGGGTATTCTCCTTTTCTCAATGCTGAATACACTAAACGTGCAACAACACCATTACTTACTTGGAAGAATATTTAATAATCTCGCCCCCCCGCCAAGCCCAATGGAGATGGATGTTGCCCTCAGTACCATCAAGATAGGACTGTGGGACAGCAGCTCAGGACCCCACACAGAGGAATGAGCAGGATCCTGCCCCCTTCCAAAGCAGCAAGGCTACATTAACATCTAAAAGCAGGAGCGGAATAAGACCTATAAATCCAGAATCTAAATTTACATTACTGCACCACTGGCTGTTGCCTATTATAGCAGAGGTAAAAGTGAAACACATTTAGTATCTGGGGAAGCAGTGGCAGGAGGAATGGAAGCAAGGTAGTAGCGACTGGAACACCTTTGGGGCTAGCGGTTTCTCTCCCTAGGCCACACCACTGACCTGCTCTGCTCCCTACGATGTGTAACATCATTTCAGCTGTTGTGTGGACAGCTGAATCTACAGTCCAGACATTCTTGCCCCACATGGCATTCCAGGTGGTCTCCTGAGTCTTAAATCCAGTCCAAGGAGCCAGCTTACAAGGGCAGGGGGGTGGGGATGTCACATGCGCAACGTCCCACGTGTGACATCAGAATGTTGGGAGGAGCCATGGGTGGAGCCAAACCCGGTGGCCACACAGCTTCAATGGCTCCTCCTTCCCCTCCTCCTGGCATTGCTACTGGCAGGAGACTGCTCTGACCCTCCTTCCTCTCCACGGCAGGAGGAGGAGGAGTTGGCCACTGGAGCCACGCCATGGTCAGCTCTATGCTTTGGGATATGAGTATTTACATGCATGCACATTAATGTCACAATGCATCCATTCCTATATTCAGATATTTATCTTCTCAATTCACTCCCCCCCCCCCCCCGGGAAGGGGGTTGAATGGTAACCTTAAGAATCCTACTGCAGATGTTCTGACACTATATAAAAGCACATATACAACACCTCCCCCACCCCCAAACAAAAAAGAAATAGCGCTTCATGAGGGCCTGGTACCCGAAAACAGGCACTGTCCTTGTTAAATAGGGATAGGCGCTTACTCCAGGATCTCCTCCTTAATCCGGAAAGCAATGTGTGCATATTTCTTCTCAGGCACCAGCAGATGGTCACTCAACAGTTGCTCTGGCGTTCGGCCTGGCCGGTGTCGCAGGTCCACTGTACTGTAGGGCTTCGGTGACCAGACATGAAGATAGAGAAAAGCCAGGGATGCCATCAGCACCATCAGCACACACAAGGACTTCTGGACTGGACGCATCCTGGAGCGAAGATGCAAGGAGAGAGAAGAAACCTTAGAAAGGCAGCAGCAGCCTGGATTGGGTGAGCAAGGAAAGAGCTCTCAGCCAGGGAGTGGGAAGAAATTTGTTCCATTTGCACTTTAATGGGAAACTACCCAATTCACTCTTCCCAAACCAATATGTTAAACAACAATTGATGACCTCCTTCTACCGGTCCACAATAGAACGTGTCCTCTCACATTGTATCACAGTGTGGTATGTTGGCTTGACAGCCACGAACAGAAAGTCTTTACAGAGGGTGGTGAACACAGCACATAATATCATGGGCTGTCCCCTGAGCCCGAGAGAGAGTGAGAAAAATTCTCAGGGATGTTTCACACCCCGGCCAGAACCTCTTTAATCTTCTACCCTTGGGCAGGAGAAATAGAAGTATAATCAGTCATACCAGCAGGCTAAAAAACAGTTTCTATCCGTGGGCTGTTAGGCTGCTGAACGGAAAATACAGTAATATAGTGCAAATGACTTTTGGGGTTGATGTGTTGTGCGACAAGCACACAGAGTGCAATGAGACTGAGTGTTTGGGGAGGGGAGGCTCGGTTAATTTCACTGTACACAGGTTGTATATTGACAATAATGGTATTATTATTATTATTATGGCAACAAAAACTGAGCTGCCCTTTGAAATTTGGATTCTTAATTTTGCAATGTAGTTCTCCAACAACAACAACAAAGGCAGCACAGAAATATTACGGGAAAGTAAGTGTGTTCAAGGGACGTGGGTGGCTCTGTGGTCTAAACCACTGAGCCTCTTAGGCTTGCCAGTCAGAAGGTCTGCAGTTCAATGGGTGAGCTCCCGTTGCTCGGTCCCAGCTCCTGCCAACCTAGCAGTTTGAAAGCACGTCAAAGTGCAAGTAGATAAATAGGTACCGCTCTGGAGGGAAGGTAAACGGCGTTTCCGTGTGCTGCTCTGGTTCGCCAGAAGCGGCTTAGTCATGCTGGCCACATGATCCAGAAAAACTGTCTGTGGACAAACGTCGGCTCCCTCAGCCAGTAAAGTGAGATGAGTGCCGCAACCCCAGAGTCGTTCGTGACTGGACTTAACTGTCAGGGATCCTTTACCTTTTTTTTAAGTGTGTTCAAAACGTTTCTGCATTACATTAGGAGAAATGCCTGTGCATTTTCGTATCATTTTTAAAAAAGGAAACTGAAGTGAAGATGGGGCAAACTGATCATCAGAAAAATGAGAAGCCAAAATGGACAGATTTGTTTATTCTTACTCTTAAGCCCCAATCCCGCGGGTGACTTTGGGTGAGTAATGCCCTCTTTTTCTCTTCGCCTAACCTCGCTCACATGGTTGCTGCATAGATAAACCATTTGTGGGTAGGGGAAGGCACACACCATTCTGTGCTTGTGGTAATGATCATGAGAAGCGAAACAAGCAAATGAAGTGGCGGTTTCATCTCGGCAGATGTCCGTCTCCATCAGCTCCAAAACTTGTAATTTTAGACTTGTAGGGTCTCCTGCAGCACAGAATGCCATGGCTTTTCCCAAAAGACTAGCGAATTGAAATTTGGTTGCAAAAGTTTCAAAAGAAAGACTGAGCAACTTAACAGCAAATGAGTGGGATGTATCTCTGCATCACAAACTGCACCATTCTTCTAGGACTACTGGCTTCAGGAACTGCCTAGGTGTTAAGGTGAGCTGGGTTGGATGGTGGAAAACATCTATAGGCGTTTCTGTTCCAGTTAAGCTACCCCTTCCCTTCAAGGGAAATCCTCCAGCAACTGCCCTGTGGGAAAGCAGGCAGGCAGCCAAAAAGAGACACCTGAGCCTGTCCCTGCAGGATTGTCTCCTCCCTGCATTCCAAAGAGGACTCTCTATGCCACCCACTGCCCTGTGGGGAGGAAAGTCAGGCGTCAACTCTCTGCTTTGTGGTTCTTGGTGTATCCATTTAGAGAGAAACTGTTCCCCGAGACCCACTTTTCAAAATAAAGTTTAGATGTTTGTACTTTTTTATTTATTGTTTTAATATTTCAGGGTTTTGTTTTTTTAACTGGAGATGCCCGGTGAGTTGTGTCCTTTCTCAAAGCTTTTCCTCCACCCATTACAGAGCTCTTGCCAGTGAGAGTGTCAGTCGTATGGGGAAGAGTCACCTGCACTAACAGGGGCTGGGCAGGTCAGAAGCCTAGCAAGCTGCAAGGTGAAGGAGGAAGCGCCCCAGTTTCACTTGAAGTGCAGAAAAGGAAAATCCACACAGTGCCAAAACCAGGTTATGCCACGGAAGCGAAACAAGTTTGCATGCGTTTTTTTCTTTTTCTTAGTGTGGGAGCTACTTTACTTTTCTCCTACATCTGAGATCTTCTAGAATGATATGGTAAATTTTGAAGTGCATGGGCTCATTGGGACAATTCTCATCCACCATCTTGGTGTATCCATTTAAACAGAAACTTCCCTCAGGCCCACTTTTAAAATGAAGTTTAGATGTTTGCACTTCTTCTTTTATTATTACTTCAGGGTCTCTGGAACTCCATAACTCAATAACCCCCAGAAAGCTTTAAAAATGTCTGAGAGGCATGGTCTAATAGGCTGCAGCTTGAGATTGACACTAAAGGCCCAACTCCACTTTCCCTTAAGGCCATACCTCTTTGCCCTGTTTTCAATTTGTTCTCTCACTCCTATCTTCATACATAATCTTATCTTTATGCCACCTTACCACAGTTCAAACTGTTATGGACATGGGGGGGGGGGGGGGAAGGTCTACCCAACCAACACATCAGAAGCGTTGGCCTCCTGAGCTTGAGTGTTACGCTGTAGGGATTTGACAAAGCCACAGCTCCAAAACAGAAGGGTTGGTTCCGCTGCACAACATTGCATACACACCACTGTTAATTTCAATACATTTCCCTCCATTAGGCAACCTCTACTGGGTTCCCAGTGCCGTAATAAGGCAAGGAAACCCCACTTTCTGAAACATTCACAAAAAAGCAGCCAAATAGATGGTTTTATTTAGTTCCAAGGGTGGAGTTGACCCGACCCATGGCATGAATGGAACAAGGACGCCATAATCCTTCAGATGTGCTACCGCGTATACCAAGCACCGCTCTAAAGTATTGGAGCTTGTATTATCAGTCCTCACAGAAACCAGAAAAGAATGTGCCCTTTGTTCTGGGCTTCTCCCATGTTTTGCTTGGGAGTTGGAACCTTGTTGCAATAACAAATGATCCAGCTTTCTTCTAGCCACTGTTTTGCTTCCAATTTGCCTGGCAGAGATCTCTTGCTTGAACCTGATAGATTATGAACCTGCAAGGCTAGACCCTAGTGACGTTTAAGTGAAGCTTTAAGTACCATACCCCAAAATTTTGTCCTTATTTGGCATACATTTGCATTCTGTAAATGCAAGCCATTTTCTTGTCAAAAAAGTTGAATATAAATCTATTAAATAAAGTAGACTTATCAGTCTAAACTGGAACCAAACCAGTCATATTTGAACCAGAACCAAACCAAAAAATTGAATGAGCTAGCTCCCTGGCCATGCTTAGACAGAGAGACTGAAGCATCTGGGCTTTTGAGTTGCATGAAGTTGGTGCAGGGGTTAGCCTGTTGGGAAGACCCAGACAGAATTCTCCACTCATCCATGGAGCATATTGGGTTACCTTGGGCCAGTCACGCTCTCTGCTTAACTCACATCAAAGGGTTATCGTGATGATAAAATAGGGAAGGGGAAGAAGAACCATATATGCTACCCTGAGCTCATTGTTAGGAAGGGCCAAATGCAAATAAATAATAATAATAATAATAATAATAATAATAATATCAACTCACTTTCAGATCATTGCACAAAAGGATGCTATGAAATTACTGTACAGAAAAGACAAATATTTACATTGACCAGCTTGGTTTTAAAGCCCAGGGGCTGGATGCATGTCTATTATCTGCATTTAAAGTTTTCAAAAGGAACTTTTTAAGGCCAAAAACGGGGAATTAGCAAAACCATATTAAATATGTTAAATGCTATTTAGAAGGTAACTCAGACACTTAATAACCATTCAGTCCACATAAACATGTTCAATAACTCCAGACAAATGTGCTTTCTAGCCCTGACTAGCTATACCTCTCCAAGATGGAGGAGGTATTTCCTAATCCTGCTACACAGTATCCTGCTGCCTGAGGTCCCTTTAAGGGAAGATGCCATTTATCCTTGTGGATCAGTGGCACGGCATGGGTCACCAGCACCCAGGGCAAATATAGCACCTCCTAACCCGTGGACTGTTACCACTCCCTAAATCCCTTCCTCCAGTCCAGCATTGAACCCCGTCATTGTTACTAATGAACTTACAAAGTGAAAAAACTGGATGCCTAGTTCATTTCATCTCCATTTAAAGGCAGAAATTGTGTTTGTTAAAACTGGGTATTGCTCTCTTCCTGCTCAAAGCAGCACCTATAGGTTGCCCAGGCTTCCTCCCACTGGGGTAGTAGCAAGCTCAGACCTGCTTAGTTCCATAGAAACCATTACATTAGGACTTGCAGTCCATTTGCTGGCTGTGCCTGAATTATTAGCAGGCACTGCTCAATTCTCAAGGCAGCCTGTTCTTTTTGAAAAAGTCTCATTTCGGTGCTCTTCCATGTTTGTTTCGGCAGGTACTAGTCATCTGCACCCATCTTTCATATACCTTAGAGACCAACTAAGTTTGTTCTTGGTATAAGCTTTCGTGTGCATGCACACTTCTTCAGATGCACACTGACCTCAATGGCACTTACTTCCAAGTAGACATGCTTGGGTTTGGGCTAGACGGGGGGGGGGGGGAGGAAAAAACACTAGCTAACTTTGCAAAGCCATAGTCACAGGTAGGTAGCCATGTTCGTCGGCCATAGTCCAAACAAACAAACAAACAAAAAATTTCTTCCGGTAGCACCTTAGAGACCAACTAAGTTTGTTATTGCTATGAGCTTTTGTGCGCATGCACACTTAAGTTGGTCTCTAAGGTGCTACTGGAAGAATTATTATTATTATTATTATTATTTATTTTGCAAAGCCATGCAGAGGCAGCTGCTGTCCCGTTGGCTGTAAGGCAACTGTTTTGCTGCAATGCTCCTCTGCCAAGCTGAAGAGACCTCGCCTGAGTGGTTTAATGATCCCTCCCACCCTTCTGGTCATGGGATTGGGGAGGGAGGGAGAGCCTGGGGAAAGAGCCTGGGTGAGCAGGAGAGTGGGCGGGCAACAGTAGAAAGCAAACTGAACAGGAAGGAGCACTTTCTCACTTGCATAGGAGAGCCTCAAAGGCATTGCAAGCCAGCTGCAATTTTGCCTATGGCTCCATCTTAAACCAGGATTTCTCTGTTGAAGAACAAAGCAGATTTGCTTATTTTTTCCCGTGGGTGCCATGGCTAAAAAGTGGCACTTGGAGGCTATGCTATTATTTATTTCTTGAAATGATTACACTGCTTGATGGGGAGTGTGTGGCTCTCCTCCAGATACTGCCAGACTACAACTCCCATCATCCCTGACCACTGGCCAAACTGCCTGAGGCTGATGCAGTTGAGATTCCAAAGCAGGGCTACCCAATCTTTTTTAAAACCTGCATATGCCAGGGATTGAACTAGAAACTCCTACGTCAGGGGCAGCCCACATGGTGCCCTACAGATGCTGTTTGACTCCCTGCTCCCATCAGCCCCAGCCAGCATGGCCCATAGCCAGTGATGCTGGGGGATGTAGCCAACAACATCAGGAGGGAACCAAGTTGGCCCAGCTCTGATCTGCATGAAAGAAAGCAATCTACCACTGAGATCTGGTCCCTCCCACACTTTTGTCCCCTTCAGCCCTACCTTTTTCTGAAGCAGAATGTTCTGCACCCTCTCATCCAAGTGAGTTGTGTGCTTTCTCGAAACATTCCTTGCACCAGTTGCACAGTCGTTACTAGAAGCAGCGTGAGTCATATAGGGAAGAGCTACAGTAATTAGTAATGATTTGGCACGTCATCAGTTGAGCAAGATGCATGGTGAGGATACAGGCAGTCATGTTTTTGCCTGCACCACGGGATGTTGAAACCGTATTAAACAATGGAAATGAAACAAGTTTGCACCTTGTTCCTGTTCTTCTCTCCCCCCCCCCCTTTTATTTGTGTAGGGGCTACTTTAGTTTTCTCCTACTTCTGAGATATTCTACAATAGTGTGGTAATTTTGAAATGCATGGGCTCATTGGGACAATCCCCATCACCACACCCTCAAAGAAAGTCCAAAAATGCAGGCAGCTGTATCAACTGATATATGTAAATTTATACATGCATACACCCCCCCCACTAAAGAACAGCAATCTGTGGCATAAAACCCATTTGATTAGAATCAGCTGACAGTAATAAATTATGGAATAAATTCAACTTGTAGAAAACATTGACCTTTAACAAAAGGTATCAAGCCAGCTGAAATGCAATCTTTGGCTCTTTATTAGAAATACAAAACTGCAACACAAGCAGTCACTAACATGGTGCCATTGTGCTCACTAATATCTCCTATGGTGTCCACGAAAGGTCTCAGTAGCTATTTCCTAAAATCCACAATATACAAGAAACTGTTTACTCATCCTGCTCAGTTTCTGTTTGCACTGGCTCAGGAATGGGTGCCTACCTTCCCATCTGTTCTGAACAGAGGAGAGCTGCAAAGAGTGAATGTGGCAGTGGCTGATATGTAGGTGCCATTCCACCCCACTGACGGACCATCTTGTGGCCCTGTCTCTTTTTCATATGGCAACCATTTTTTGCAACCATTTTGTAAAGGACACCCCTGTTGCTTCCTCAAGATACCATATGTGCCCAGTTGCCCACAGAACTTAGTGGCGACTGCTGTAGCGTATTGTACAAAATTACATATATAATGACTACAATTCTAGGCAATCATACTTATTTAGTGGCAGAAGAAAGTAAGTAGCAGCTAAGACAGAGAAGGAAAAAAATAAGCCGTCAACCCCCCCCCCCCCTTGTGTCCTCCTATGTTGTTGGACTCTAGCTCCCATCAGCCCCCTGCCTTCATGGTCAGCTGTCAGGGATAATGGGAACTGCAGTCTAATGCACGGCAATCATGAGTGAAAATAAGACACAAGGTTGTGCAATATCTTAATATTTTGAATTACAATGGTTTTTAAACTCCATAGTTCTATCAATTTACTTGTGCACTGCAACCTTCTTCTCGTCTTTTATGGTCATAAAAGCTATCTCCCAAACATTATCATACCATTGCATTACTGTACTACTAAAGTTGGGGGATTTCCAACTGACAGCAATTGCTCATATGACTGCTGTCAAGAAGGAAGCTATGGGCCAGATTGAACTAACCCAGTACACTAACCGAAGCCGACACAAGGGCTCCTGTGAGCACACCAGGGCAGGGCAGCTTCTTCCACTCTCCTTCTCCCGATCTGCTCTGGAAAACCTCCAGAACAGCGCACTGGGGGAGGAAAGGAGAGGTCGTTCTGTCAGGCAAGCAGAAATGCTTGCACTAATGGAATGATAACAACCGCGCAACACTGAATTCTTCTGGATATGTTCCAAATCTCTTTCAGCAACAATTCCTTATGAGTCCAGGAAGGGCCCTCTTTCGTAAATGATTTGGCACATTTCTAAATAAGTAGAAGAAATGCAAATTTGAAAAAGGAAGTGTTACCATTTCAACTGCTAGAGTAAGGTAGGAACACAATCAAAGACAAAAGCCTCTGCTTGATTATTAGCCTCACTCAATTCCATAAGCAAGGACCGCCAGTCAGGGCTTGTCCACACTTCTGTTTGTACCTGCCTCTCCCTCCGGGGAAAACTTCACCACTTAATCAGAGCAAATGTCAATCAACTGAAGCAAACGTCAAGTTTTCTGTGGATTGAGGTTTGCTCTGATTTTTCTAGGCACGGGACAAGCGAAGTGTGGGGGCACCCTCATTTACCCTCTTTTTCATTAGACATCACATTGACATCACTTCTGCTCTTAAAAAAAGTCCCCGTCTCCTACACCACTGGTCACCCAGCCCTAGGGCAAGAGGCATTAATTCCCATCCTTGGGGGAGAAAGCAAAGTTGCAGCACTGTGCCAACTGTCCCCGAAATACTGCCAACAGTGCCTCACATTTAGGAAATTAACATGGAGGAACACCAGTACAAGCACTAGAGAAATGGCAGTGATCCCTTTAACAGAGTTCTCAGAATGCCTGTGGGCCTCCTACTGCTGACACATAAAATCAACACAAGACCATTCATTATGTGCTACTGTAGAGTCAGAAAAGTTTCAGCAAAGGGCAAACCACATGACTGTGAAGCTAGACCTGAGACCCCCATAAAGTTGAATGTTAGAAGACTGAGGTCAAAAGGAAATACTTCGTCACACAGCAGATAGTTAAAACTAGGGAATTCACGGACTTCCGGGACAGCGCCATTGGCAATGGCGGAGTTCCTCTGACAGAGAGGAACCCGCTCTGTGAAAATCGGGTCTTGCCGCCGCGGCGAAGGCGGAGACCCTTTAAAAATCCCAGGCGGAGGAAGCCTGGGAACGTGGGATTCGGCTGACACCAGGAGCGCCTCCCCTACCTCCCCTACTCGCAGGGAAACCCTTTTTCGGGGGTCCGAAGCGACGTGGGGTGAGTGGCGCGGTGTTTTGAATCAACCGCTACTTTTACGGAGTGAAGCCGCACAGCCATTGCCGGAGAGCGCTGACCTTTTCCTGTGGATATTTAGACTCTAAACAAGTACCCGTGAGTAGGACGGAAAATTGGATTAAGTATTAAGAAATATCTTAATTTGGCACCGAAACGGGAAGGTTCTAAACAGGAAGTCCGCCTCCCGTTTTTTGTAAATAGATTGAAGCAAAAACTTTGTAAGCTAAAGTCTGGAAAGTCGTATATAAAGTTCTAAATTTCCTTCATTCATCACCACCAAAACCTGGGCTCCCGCGGCTTGCGGAGAGTTGCCTAATCTGGGGGCTGGAGTCGGGGGAAGCCCGAGCTTCCCCCGACCCAGCCCCGCGCCTGGGGGGGGGGGGGGGGGAAATAATTTTTTTCCCTTTATTCCCCCCCCCAAAAAACTAGGTGCGCCTTATGGGACAGTGCGTCCTATAGGGCGAAAAATCCGGTAATTCATAAAGCTATCCATGACTACTTGCCATGAGAATGCATATTATCTACCAGTATTGGAGAGCCCAGGACCTCCCATTGCCTTAAAATAATCTTACCCAAGGGTGTTTTCCCTTCTTGGAAGTGGGGCACCTTTCACACATTATTATTCTGTCCTGGAAGCAGCATTGTCCTGCTTTCTCATCAGATTTTGCCTAAACTTCTGGGGCTGGTGCATCTGAAAGCACATACTTTTTTCCTTTTCTTGAAAATCCTGTTAAGTGCATGAAATATTCCTTCTTAACTAACATCCACAGCACTGAATCAAAGACAGTTCTAGCACACAAAGTATAATGTGGTTATTACATAATTTGAATGCAGAACCTACAGCAGCCAAGAAATATATCTGCACTACAGAAAACAGCCTTTGACAGGGATAAAACAAGGATTCCACAAAGATTCCTGTCATAGTGACCTGGTTTCACACATCATAGTGAGCCTAACCATGGCTTAGCACGCTCTCCAGAAAGGAGACTGTGGCTATTGTACTTTGCTCCACCTTGGTCATTCTGCAACTGAGCCATCCCAAGGCATGGTTTGGCTTCGTGTGTCATCTGAACCAGACCTAGTGAGAGAAAGATACTGGGGCACTTCAGCTGGTCCACAGATTTGCGTGGCTGAATCACAGTGTAAGCTAGACTGGCCTTCTTTAGTAAGGCGAGGTCTTCTACCTCCCTGCTTTATTTCAAGCAAGTGATGCTGGAGGTGAACTGTGAATGGGAAGGTCACACAATCTTTCCTGGAAAATTTTACCTCAATTCCAGGTATGTGGATGCAAACTGTGGTTACTGAAAAGGGGAAGAAAAGCACACTCTGTGCATGATCACGGGCACCGTTTTCTCTGACATGATTCACACCTTCCAAGATCAAGACCTGTAATTAAGAAAGAAATTCTAGGCAAAATCTAGCCCAAATTGATCAGAAATTTATCAAAAGGTTGTATTCTATGCCTGAACTCCCATCATTCATCTTATCAGTGATCTCTGCTCACAAAGTCAGTTATCTCTTCAAATGCAGAGATGCTCGTCATTATTTTACCACATCCTGCCGCAGCTCTGTGCAAAGCAGCTCTAGCCCTTTGAAGCCAACAACCCTGCCCAGCTCCACCAGAAAGTCACACACCAGCAACATACAACCCTCCTGCCTTGGAAAACTACAATCGAGAAGTGGGATGTAAATGTTTGAAATTAAGTAAATAAATAGAGGGGACATGAAAAAAATCCTTAGGTAGGTCCATTTTAAACTTGGAAAATTGTGGCAACAGACCAAGAATGAGAACTCAAACTCCCATCAGCCCCAGCCAGCATGGACAAAGGTCAGAGTCAGAGATGATGGAAGTTGTAGTCCAACAACATCCAAAGAGTCTCAGGTTCTCCATCTCTGCAACAGAAGGTGCTGGTGCTAGTTCAATCATCTCTGGTTTGTTCTAGGGTAGCATGTGACCTGATTCACCAAACACATCTCCCCTAAACTTTTTACAGGTAACCAGGCTGGGTCTGGTTAACAGATAAATGAACAGGCACATGCACACAGTGGTGGACCTCAGACTCCTCCTCTCCTCACCCCTTCCAGAAATGCAACAGGCCCTGACACTGACCCATGGAACCCAGGATGTGCTCAAGGAAGAGAGAAAGGCACTCTGCACATGCTCAAAGGCCATTTAATCTCCAATTGTTTCTTGAGTTTCCTGGGCACAACTTGGAAGCATGTTCCAGGTCTAAGAGCCAATTCATACATGTGGCTTAAGTTGCCACCATAGTCTTAAAAAAATGATCTTAACTTCCTTTCTTCATTCAAAATCTACATTAGAAAATACCTTTCTCAAGCAATGTTAAAGATGTTAGAAAGAAAACAGTGTGCAAGCTTTTGCCTTCTCCAGAACTATTACAGTATTCAGTAGACAGAAAGGGGGAAGCGAAATGACTGGTGTTGAAATCATGCATGGAGTCTGAATTTAGTCAGAAAGACCGTGGAAGGAGGTTGCAATATTCAAATGAGGCTCTATTAGGTGCTTTGCAGGGCTTCTGGGAAAATAATAATAATAATAATAATAATTTATTATTTATACCCCGCCCATCTGGCTGGGCTTCCCCGGCCACTCTGGGCGGCTTCCAAAAGAATATTAAAATACTATAATACATCAAACATTAAAAGCTTCCCGAAACAGGGCTGCCTTCAGATGTCTTCTAAAAGCCTGGTAGTTGTTGTTCTCTTTGACATCTGGTGGGAGGGTGTTCCACAGAGAAGGCGCCACTACCGTGAAGGCCCTCTGCCTGGTTCCCTCAAGGTAAAGAAGCATACAATGGTTGACACTCCAATTTTTAGAAATATAAGATCCAGCTGTTAATCACAAGTGTATCATTTTTTACTTTTGCAAAATACACAGGTTTCCTCTCACCAGTCTTGGTTTTTTTATCATCTAGAATAATACCTGTATAGGAGAACTCAGAAGCTCGCATGCTACTTGTAGTATCTTGGTTGGCCTAATAAGGGTATTGCCCTAATGTGGATTTTGGATTTTCTTCTTGTGGGTCAACACAACTACATTTGCAAGAACGGTGTTGGAGGAGCAGAGAAGAATTTGCCATGCAATGAGCATTCTGTCCAAACTTCAGCTTCACATTTGCATTGCAAAGCATTACAAAGAGTCTTGTGTTGAAAAGCAGGGTGGGAGGGACCTGCAAAAAGACAATTGGCTTTGGAAAATGCTACATTGATGCCACATTTCTACATTTAGAACAGGAGCCTGTTTGTTCAATCCATCCTTTCCTTCAAATATTTTTCTTTCTCTTCCTTTCTTCCTTCCGCAAAGAAAACCACCAACTCTGTTGGGCAACTACTGTACAAGTCTTTCTCTATCCCGGGGAATATTGTTTTGGCAATCAGGGATACTGAGGTTCCAGACCACTTTCCCCCTCAAAAACAGAGTACCAGCCATCAGGAATGTTATCCAGGATCCTGGACCACATATAGCTACCAAGTTTTGCCACTTGGTCCTCAAACACCATTATTTCAAAAAGACAGGTAAATGGGCAACACAGTATGCAAACATATCCATGGCTATTTTAGAACAACACTTACTTCTGCTTCTGCCCACAAACACCTCCCCCAAGTTATATTGATGACATCTTCATCATCTGGACCCATGGGCAGGAGACTGTACAGTACTGTACAGTTGTACCTCGACTCCTGAACACCTTGGGAGTCAAACGTTCCGGCTCCCAAATGATCAAAAACCGGCAATCAATTTTCCGGTTTTTGGACGTTCTTTTGGAAGCCGAACATCCAACGAGGCTTCCGATTGGCTACAGGAGCTTCCCCAGCCAATCAAAAGCTGCACTTTGGAAATCTAACGTTTTGGAAGTCAAATGGACTTCCGGAATGGATTCTGTTCGACTTCCGAGGTACCACTGTACACTAGGACTAGTGAAAAAATATTCACCTCACCATCAACCCAAGCATAGACCTGTCCACATGCAGGTTCGTTTTATGGATGATACTGCAAAACTGCATAGTAGACAAATAGGCACCAGCTTATAATAGAAACCAGCTGACTGCAAAACATGTTTGCACACTTCTTGCTTCCATCCAAAGCATAACACAAGATCTTCCATCTATATCCAAGTCCTGGATTCAGCCACATTTGTTCCAGCTTGTTGGATGGGGATGTGCACTTGAAGGATTTATATTAGACATTTGCTACAATAAGACACCACTCAGACAACACCATTACAGGATGTTAACAGGGTATGGACTTGCTTCTTGACTAACCGAATCCCGTTAGTTGCTCAGAATCCTGCTGAGACAATTTGGTTTTTCTGCCTCAGTGGAAGGATTGCAAACAGCAGTCCTGAATCAGCATATTGGTCCTTGTCCAAAATACTGACCTTGTTCCAGAACCCTGGCATCTTCCTATTGTTTGGGTCATCACCCACCCTTGGTGAAGGCCATGACTACAGTTCAGGGGAGTATGAACAAACATCATGTGTGAACGTGCAGGGAGTAGGGCCTCATGACAGCTTGCCAGAAAAAAATTACCACATCTTCAGGAGTTCACTCACCGGCTTATTTGCCAAAGGGATACATGCCATCAACGATTGCCTTCAGTACAGGACAAACATTGAAATGCATACAAACCGGTCACAAATCTGATGCAATAAATTGCAATATTCAGAAACCAGTGGGATAACATTTCAGCTTTATGAGACAGTATACTGCTTTCTTGGGAAGTGCCTTTCTGCAACAAAGGCACTGCGAAAGGAGACTGCAATGTAATAATAATAATAATAATAACCCACCCATCTGGCTGGGTTTCCCCAGCCACTCTGGGCAGCTCCCAACAGAATATTAAAAACATGCTAAATCATCAAACATTAAAAATTTCCAAAATAGGGTGAAATAGCTGAATTAGAAAGTTATCAAGACATTTGGCTCTATCAGTTGGGTTTGAATCACAATAACTGTTTCCTGTCCCACTAAAGGTTGGGATAATAATAGCAAAACTGGGGCGATTATCACCAAACTACCGCTGAATGGTAGCTTTGCCTATCATAAATTTTATACAGAATTATCAGAGACAGTACTTTTTGCATCTCATGGTCATTTGGTCCCATTTTCATGCACACCCCAGTATGTCCACGTGAGTCCGAGTGTGGGAGCAGGATGGAGGGAGAAATGTTTATGCTAGGATGAGTCTGCTAGTTTGTTCCAGGTGCCGTATGGCTGTTATAATTATTGTAATGGACTAACACAGCCAACTCCACTGGAAGATGTGGGATCCAATGTTTGTAGCAACATTAGATCCGGCTGTGATTACATCATAGCTTTCACTGCGCATGATTCTACCCCTATCTGGTGTCCCAAGTATATGGCTATGCAGGTCTGTCCTCACTTCTGAGTGACAAGCTGTTTCATAGGTACATGCCCCACTAAAAGTTCTGTTTCCTTTGGAAGTAGGTCACAAAAGGTTTGTGGCACCTTGCTGCCTAGAAAAAAACATCAGAATCTTGTGGCACCTTAAAGACCAATGAATACATCATAGCATAAACTTTCACAGACAATACTGAACTTCAACAGATGCATGAAATGTTATCCTGAGTGATAGACTTTTGTAATGCTTTTTCTAACGCCCTCACTCTGTTAATAGACTGCACTGTACAACTGATGAAAGCTCAAGATAGCAAACTCATTCCTAATTTGAATTTAACAGCCTTTGTATTGCAACATTACACTAGAAAGTTAATTAGTGGTTAAAGCTGCAAGTTGCCTTGTTTTCAGATCTGGTCTACTTGTCTCACCAAGAAATCGCCTGAAAATCCTAGCCAGTGGCCATGCAACTGCAAAATTACAGAAGTCATTCCAGACAGAAATCACTGCAGTGATCTCCTGCTCTCAGAATAAGCCAACCAGAAATTGACAGGGTGCAAATCAGATTCGTAGCAACGAAGAGCACATCATCACCAGCAATATTGTGAAATGGACAGCTAGTCAGAAGCCCATTAGTCTCACATATGATTTAATAGCAAACACAGCTAGAAAGAAGATGTGCGTATTTAAAGGAGCTAGGGAACGTCTAAAGCATTAAATAATTGTTGTTATGCACTCACAGAATCCCAGTTTGGGATCTAAACCAGACATGCAACAAAGCCAATCTCAATCACTTCCCTGCTATTAGGATATGATGGTCTCCAAACAGCCTCATTTAGCCTCTAGCTGAGCTCCAATCATTGCTCTGACCCAGGCCTGCTCAACATCTGACCCACAGAGCAGAACACGGTCTCCAGGCAGATATTTTTTGCCCACCAGATGCTTCTCTCTCCCCCAAAAGGTTTAAGGCGTTTCAGTCAGTGGCAAAATCAGGTTAACCACATGCCACCAAAATATGATTATACAAGAATCCCTCAAAGCAGTTGACAAAAAGATAAAAGAAAAAATACAATACATTATTGACACCATGATTTTAGGATAAATACGACCCCCCCTTGTCCCCCTCCCCAAAGCTACATGCCACTGGAGGGGGGAGGGGGAGGGGGAGGGGGCTGGATCAGGACACTTTAACCCTTTCACCTGCCATCATTTCCCCACTCTGAATTGCCCTCCCCATGTAGCTCCTATTTGCCCTGCAGGAAGGTAATGGTTTGACCCCAAGTCCCTAACAGGTCACCATACATGTCTGGTGAATAGTGTTCACTTTGGTCAGCTGCTGCAAATTCCTACTGTAACCCTGCTTACTTTTTGTTTTGGAGTTTTGTTTTCCCTCTCTTTTCCAAAAATTCCAATCAAAACTCAAACATCATAGTTTTGGGTCTTCTCTCAGCCTCCCCATCCCCATACCACTTCCTAGAACAAGAATGTAAGTGAGTTACCAGGGGTCTTGTAAATGAACAGTCAATCAAACAGCCAGGACAGAGTGCGGCAGTTATATTTACATGGGCTTGGCAGGGTGATTGTGGAACAACTCCTAAATAAGCCCCACCTCATCCTTTTTACTGCACATTCATGGTGATCTGTGCTTGTGAGGCCATCGTGGTCGTCACACGTGATCCCACTTCCAAAGCTATTTGCACCTACAAATGACAATTTGGGGCAGCAGCAGCACCAGATTTAAGGTGGTGCAGGCACAGGGTGCCAAGCCAAGGGGGGCACAAAACTGAGAAGATGCATTTGGGGGCATAAAATTTTGGGCTCGCACAGGGTGCCATATTACGAAAAATTACCATAGCCCACCCCTGAGGGCAGGTGTATTATTTCACATGCTCAATGAGTGCATATCCTGTCACTTTTTCTAACACAAATGTTCCTTGTTTATTCTTGTTCTGTTTTGGTTGCACTACAGCTTCTCCAGCCAGCAGTAATGTGGTAGCATTGGGGAAGCATCACAGAACAAGCCAAGCATAAGCACTAGAACATGTTGCAGAACACACACCGTTGAACGTGGGGGGGAGCAGCTGTAGGATTACCACCTCACCCACCAGAGATCCTATCTATAGCCATAAGCTCTGAGGCAATGGGAGAAGATTCTGTCGCACTCCCCATTCTGTTCCTTCACTAGCCCCTTTGCCTTCCCTCTTCCCCTCCACCTGCTGCAAGAAGATGTCCTTGAGGAAGTTGAGCAAGGGGACCCAGTGGAGAAGCAGCAGCTACATCATTTATTGCTTCCTCATAACTATTATACCTACAGCCAGGATAAGGAAATCACACTAGCGATTGCCTGAGCAGATAATGATATTGTGACATACCTGTAAAAGAAAAATAAATTGACTCTAGGATCTTGAGAACAAGGAAACTGACAACTCATGGAGAGGAGTGGGACTGAGGGAAAGTCCTTCCTGGAAAGTGATGCAACTCATAAACTACATGCTTGAATAAACTTCCTCCAGGTGAAATCATTCTAGCCTCAGCCCTTCCATCAGAAATCTCTGGGTGAAGCCAAACATTTGAGTCATGTTAGTTATCCCATCCTAGGGATAGAGAATTGGGAACCTCAGAGGTTCAATCTGGCTCCCAGGTGCTTCCCATGCCAAGGCTATATCTTCTTACCCTCTCCTCCAATGCCAAGACCACCTTCCCTAATATCATTTCCTGGATGATTTCTAAGAGCCCTCATCTCCGACTGAGCTGGGTAGGGAGAAGGCTCTAAAGCCCAACCCTGCTGCCATTTACTATGGGAAGTAAGGCATAAACAAACCCTTTGCCTCTGTGTCCTGGGCTCACATGGGAGTCTGGGGGCTCATCCACATCGCCATTTGCTCCGCTGCTTCCCCTCCCCCCGGGGAAACCTGATCTTCAGCCCTGAATCGGAACAAACAGCAACAACTTAACAGCTTGATTGTACAAAACCTCTCAGCAGTTTACAAAAAAATAAAAATAAAACACAATTATGAATAAAAAAGTAACAATAATAATTTAAGGCCAATGCATACAGAAAGCCATCAACTGTCTCCACAATAATTCATCACAAATCTGCAAGAGTAGAATATGGTGATTTGAGGTTCTTTCAGGATTTAATACGATATCTATCGAGATTCGTTATCTATGTGGGGTGTGCATGCATGTGTAGATGTACATACTTTGCTCTCAAGAAGCAGAAAGAGAACAGATTGCTACAGATTGTAGAAGTTACTTTGCACACAAAAATAGTAATAATGGGGAAATTACTGTGTATACTGAGAAACTACAATTAAGTGATGCTTAATTTAGCAATAAAGTCAAAATATGGCTCAATTTTGGTCACCCCCCACTGTTCCCAGAATGGCCAAGGCATCAGACTCGACTCCTTTGAACATCTCACACACTATGACACTTTGTGACATTGCAATACAGCAGTGACATCTTGGCAAACTGATTATTGCTTTGTCCTTTCTGAGACAGATTTCATTAAGTTCCATTATATTAGAAGTCAAAACACAGAAACCTTTTGAATATAAAAATTGCTAACCTTGAGCTCCAGTACTCGTCAAATAACCAAATTGTTGTTACATTTTTAGTTAATAAAACATTTAAAATACCTGGGATGAAAATCTGCACTGGTTCAGTCACAAAAACGATGCACAACAATGCTGAAAGCTGTAGTCCAGAAACATCTGGAAGCCATCACATTAGACACCCCTGATCTGGAAGAATCCACTGCAACATTGAACACTATTCAGAAACTTCAGCTGGTGCAGAATTTGGTGACCAGGTTGCTCATTGGAGCAAGGCAGTTTGAGCATATTACACCAATCCTGGTTAAACTGCACTAGCTGCCAATTAGTTTCTGGGTCCAGTTCAAAGTCTTAAGTGTCTCAGGACTGCAATAGCTCAAGGTCTGCCTCTCCCCATATGAACCTACCTGGACGCTATGATCATCCCCTGAGGCCCTTCAAGGCCTCAAGGGCCATGAGAAATCCGGAGGATCAGTGGCGTAGTATGGGTTGCCAGCCCCTGGGGCACGGCCCCTTCCTGCAATCCAGTACTGAACCCCGTCATTGTTACTAATGAACTTACAAAGTAGAAAAAACTGGATGCCTAGTTCATTTCATCTCCATTTAAAGGCAGAAATTGTATTTGTTAAAATTGTGTATTGCTCTCTTCCTGCTCAAAGCAGCACCTATGGGATGCCCAGGCTTCCTCCCACTGGGGTAGTAGCAAGCTCAGACCTGCTTAGTTCCATAAAAACAATTACATTAGGACTTGCAGTCCATTTGCTGGCCGTGCCTGAATTATTAGCAGGCACTGCTCAATTCTCAAGGCAGCCTGTTCTTTTTTAAAAAATGCATTTTTTATTAAAGATGTCTTGTTTACAAAGTATGTGCAATGTCTCTTTTTCCAAGGAACATTTTCTACAGGTCGGTGTGGCGTTTGCCTCCTAGGTGGGTCATAAGGAAAGGGTTAAATGAGTGTGATGTGATTGGCCAGTGAGAACCCGAGGGGAGGAGGTGGAGTTAGAGAAAGAACTGGTGTTGTTTGAAAGTCAGTTGAGAGTTGGGAGTTGGAGAAAGAAGAGGGAGGTTGAGTCTGTGGGTTGGTCGAGTTGTGTGGTGAGAGAGTGAGAGGAACTGTTAGGTGGAGTCAGATAGATAGTTGGGATAATCAGTTTGAAGTTGTTAGTTGTTCGTGCCTATAAAAATAAACGTGATTAACAACTATATGGACTCCGTGTGTACCCAAGAGAAACGGGTTGGTGGCAGCCAAGAGGCAATCACAGTGGTGGCACAGGGATCAACAGACCATCAAACGTCCGGGGACCCTGTGTGATCGCCACAGTCGGTTTCAATTGTTGAGACATTAGTGTTACATTGGGGGAGAAGGGGAAAAGAGGTGGAGGGGGCCACGGTGGGTGAGGGTGGGGTATCAGCCTGTTCTTTTTTGAAAAAGTCTCCTTTCACTTCTCTTCCATGTTTGTTTCAGCAGGTACTAGTCGTCTGCACCCATTCTTTCATATAATCACTAATAACCCCCTCCTTCTTCCTACGTGCACTAAGAACCACACATACACACCCTCTGACTCCATCCATATGCTTGCACACATGGTTCAAACTGTACATGGTTCAAAATGTAAGCTCCACCAAGTTCAAATACAATTGTGTCCAAGCCTGAAATCTTATACAAATTCAAGTCAGTGACAGCACACAAAGGGATCCACAACAACCCCTTTAAGCAATTAAAAGTGGGAATTTAAATCCCATAGGCTTCCAAGGGATAACACTCAAAATGTTGGTTCTTCTGACCTGCTGGATTTCTGCCTGTCATACATCGGTTAAAGGTACATAAACTCTGCCGGGGGGGGGGAAAGGTGCCAGTCTTTATGCTCAAGGTTACCTTGCATATACATGATGGCACACATACACGCCCACAGCACCCTCAGACTCAAAGCCTTGCAGGGCTTTAAAAGCCTAACTGATCTGGGAGAATCCACAGCAGCATTGCTGAAGCTAAGCGGGTGCAGTTGAGTTCAGATCTGTCCCCTGGGTGGAAGATCACAGGAGCCCAGTTCAAAAGTTACACAATACCAACCTAAGTTCCCTTGGGTAGAAAGAGCAGAGATAATAACAAGAACATCTGCAAGGAGCTGCTATCCCATGCCCCAACTTGTCATGCATGTCCCAGGCTGCACCACCTGGTGTCCTCAGGCACAGTGATGCACGCCAAAAGACACACACCTTACAGACTTTCACCAGAGGACAGACATGCATTGTATTAAGGGCATGGCTACTTGGCTTGGCTCCACACATGAATTTGTCTTACGAATAGGGCTAGGGGAGCCCAGCTTGGGTATGAGCAAGGTATTCTCATCAGTTTCTCTGCTTTACTGGATTTATGAGCCCCAGTATCATTACTGGGACTGGTCCGGATTCTTTTCTTGCCTCTGGGTGCCTTTTTAGGTTCAAAGCTAAGTTAAAATCTCAACAATTACTGTGTCAAGTTCAGTCACTTTGCACCCTTCCACTTGATAAACGGGATCCTGACAGAACAGATAAGCTCAAAGTTTGTTAATTATTGCTTATCTCACAGTTCACATTCTTCTGCTCTCCAGCTTCCAGGTTAAAAGAACAGTTAATAAAACAGTTAATAAAATGCTTGGTTTTAAACAAGTTAAAATCAATTAAAACTCGGTTGAAATCTGTGGAGCTCTGGAGCTGGCTGCCCTTTCAGGGACTGAGCAAGGTATTAATGTTTGCGGAAGAGCAACAGCTATGGGGCCGCGCATCTGCTTTGCATGCAAAGGCCTTAGGTTCCATCCCTGGTATCTCCAGGCAGGGCTGGAACGCTCCCCTCTCTGAAACCCTGGAGCACTTCGATTAGTCAGTCTCAACCGTCCTAAACTTGAGATATTTAAGGCAGCTTCCTGTTTAATGAACAAAAATATTTTCTAGTCTGTTGTTGACATCAGAAAGGTGAAAGTTATTTATAAATGATGGAAGTTTGAGGTTGCGTGTAACACTTTGAGATATAGCGGTTAAGATTGTCTGAAGAAAGAAGAAAGAAAATTCAGAGTCCTTGTCTCACACAGAAAGTGGTGAACCCTCCCAGCTCTCACCTGGGAGCTTTCGTTTCTTCTTCCAATTTCTCACTCAGGGTCCCTCCATCCATCCACCACCTTCATGTGTGTGTAATCCTGGAACCCAGTAATGGCCCAAAGCAGAGGACACCAAAGGAAAACAAAAGAAAAGAGAAGAAATAAGATAAAAAGGAGGGACATATATATGAGAAAAGAAACAAAGGGAAAATAAAAATAAAACAGGACTTTCGAATTTTTGTTTGTCAGTTGCCCCAAAAAAACTATTCAAAACATTCACTCTGTTAAGCAATACTTCCCCAATCTTCAGACCCATACGTCTCAAATGCATTCCTTTTCAAACAAAAAGTCCAAAAAGGGGTTCTGTAGTTGTTGTTACTCACAAATATCAGCAATGAATTTTCTGTAATCAAACCTATATGTCAGGGACAGTCCCAGAATTACAAAAGCCATCTCAGTTTCTCATTTAATCCCAGAATGTCCCTATTTCCCCTGCGAGTGCTGCTGCTGCTGAGCTCAAAAAAAGAGGAAGATCTGGCACTTGTCCTGAGCAGCCGAGGAGGCAAGGGAGCCCCTGTGGCCTCTCCATGGCCGCTGCTGCTGCCGCCCCACTTCCTTGGGCAGCTCATAGCAGCTGCTAGAGAGCAGATGAGAAGAGGCTGCCACTGCCAAGGCCCAGCCCTGTGTAAAGTGCTGGCTCTGAGGGGCAGGCAGAGGGCAAGGGCCTCCCTGGGAAGGAAGGAAGGGGGAGCAGAACAGAGCGCAAGGAGTCTTGATTTAAAAAAAACAACAACTTTGTGCATCTACATCTAATCTTGCCCCTTTGCCCAGCATGGACAAAGGTCAGAGTCAGAGATGATGGAAGTTGTAGTCCAACAACATCCAAAGAGTCTCAGGTTCTCCATCTCTGAAACAGAAGGTGCTGGTGCTAATTCAATCATCTCTGGTTTGTTCTAGGGTAGCATGTGACCTGATTCACCAAACACATCTCCCCTAAACTTTGTACAGGTAACCAGGCTGGGTCTGGTTAACAGATAAATGAACAGGCACATGCACACAGTGGTGGACCTCAGACTCCTCCTCTCCTCACCCCTTCCAGAAATGCAACAGGCCCTGACACTGACCCATGGAACCCAGGATGTGCTCAAGGAAGAGAGAAAGGCACTCTGCACATGCTCAAAAGCCATTTAATCTCCAATTGTTTCTTGAGTTTCCTGGGCACAACTTGGAACCATGTTCCAGGTCTAAGAGCCAATTCATACATGTGGCTTAAGTTGCCACCATAGTCTTAAAAAAACGATCTTAACTTCCTTTCTTCATTCAAAATCTACATTAGAAAATACCTTTCTCAAGCAATGTTAAAGATGTTAGAAAGAAAACAGTGGGCAAGCTTTTGCCTTCTCCAGAACTATTACAGTATTCAGTAGACAGAAAGGGGGAAGCAAAATGACTGGTGTTGAAATCATGCATGGAGTCTGCATTTAGCAAGCCTTCAGAAAGAACAGGAAGAAAGAGGGAACAGAATGGATCTTGATTTAAAAAACAAAACTTGGTGCAACTACATCTAATCTTGCCCCTTTCTAAAAATAAATAAATTTCTGGGTGAGTATTTCTTTTTGTAAATCTACCAAGTAATAAAATAAAAATAAAATAAAGGGGTTTTCTCAGGATGGGGGAGGGCATGTGTGCTATGTCCCATTAGGGAGGTGGGGGTTCCCGCCCATCTTCTGATGGGAAATGCTCTGCAAGGGGGGGTACAAAAATGGGGGGTTCAAGGAGGGTCAGTTGAGAGGAGTGAGAAATGTCCCTATTTTCATCTGAAGAATGTTGGAGGGTATGCATACATTTAAGCACTCTTACCACTTAGTCATGGAGAATCCTGGAAATTGTCATTTGTTAAGGGTGCTGAGAAGTGTAGCTCTGAGAAATCAGCAACTTTAAACTACAGTTCCCAGGATTCATGACTGTTAAGATTGCTTAACATGTTTGGTTTGGAGAGCCAGTGTGGTGTAGTGGTTAAGAGCGGTAGTCACGTAATCTGGGGAACCGGGTTCGCGTCTCCGCTCCTCCACATGCAGCTGCTGGGTGACCTTGGGCCAGTCACACTTCTTTGAAGTCTCTCAGCCCCACTCACCTCACAGAGTGTTTGTTGTGGGGGGAGGAAGGGAAAGGAGAATGTTAGCCGCTTTGAGACTCCTGAAGGGGAGTGAAAGGCGGGATATCAAATCCAAACTCTTCTTCTTCTTCTTCTTGGTGTGGATGTGATTTTTGTTTGCTTCATCCACACTATACATTAACACACATTTAAAACACATGACTTTCCCTAAAGAATCCTGAAACCTTAACAAGCTACAGTTCCCAAGATTTCGGAGGGGGAGCCATGTGTCCTTGGAAGGTGGTGGACTCTCCTTCCTTGGAGGTTTTCAAGCAGAGGTTGGGTGGCCTACTGTCATGGATGCTTTAGCTGAGATTCCTGCATTGCAGGGGGTTGGACTAGATGGCCCTTGGGGTCCCTTCCAACTCTATCATTCTGTGATTCTATGACTGTACAGGTCAGCAATGCAGCTGAAGAATGGAGGTCAACCACCAACTCCAAATAAATGGCAGCAACGTCCTCCAAAGTTCAGGATCCACTAAAATTAAAAAGAACACATACAAATGAAAGTAACCCATTACCAAGTTTGGGGTCCCAGCTGATTTAAGTATCAGAGGTGGGAGGAAGAGAATAAAACACTGAGATCCAGTTAGGAGAATAACAAGAACAGATAACTGCAGTATAGAAATGGGAAGAGCATGCCTCATAGCTGCAAAAATAACCAAGGGTTCACTATTGCAAAGTACAAAAGAGCTCTTTGGCTATATGAAAAGAATAATGAGAGGAAATGCGGAGTTCGAACTTCCCTTTCTTTTGCAGAAATAGGCTCTGGAACTGGGTAAATTAAGGAAGCTTGTTCAAAGAGTCCTTCCAACCTCCCACCCATGCTCATCAAGAAGTATCGGCAGCTAGTGACTGGGCTGTGTGACAGCCCCTCCACCAACCTGAGGAGTTGCTGAGGATTGTCCTATCAGCCAGCCCTTGGGTCTTCATCTGCTGTTGCTGAATGCCACATAGGCTCTGAGCAAGACCTCCCTCAACCAGGATGTGATTATGGATGAGGAAGCTGATTTGGTTTGTTTCCCTGGGAATCAAACAGCCAGGACAGAGTGCAGCAGTTATATTTACATGGGCTTAGCAGGGTGGTTGTGGAACAACTCCTAAATAAGCACCACCTCATCCTTTTTCCTGCACATAGAAGCCTAACAAACAGAATCCGAGACCAGGGAGAAGAGTCGGTGAAAGAAGACTGGAAGAAATTTAAAGACTATTTACAGAAATATTGTAAAATTAAGGAATCTTAGAAGGATGTTGGATAGAAACTAAGTGGTTTCCAGCTGTAATGCTTTAAGAGATACGAAAAAAGGTTTATAAATGGGTAAAAGCTTAATGGTAAGGATTTGCTGAACTAACAAACTTAACTGGAATACAAAAGAGGGAGGTACGAGGAGGTCCGGGGAAATAAGGGTAAGGAAGATATGCTATGGAAAATTAACGTGTTTTTAACTGTTTTTATTTTGTATGTTTCTTTTTATCTTTCATTTCTTTGTTATATCTTAAAAATTTTATTCTTTTTTCTGTATCTTGGATTTTCTTGCATTTTTAATTTTTGTTTTGTGTAATTCTTGTATTCTTTGAAACTTTAATAAATATCATTTAAAAAAAGAAATAAAAGCCTAACAAACAAACGTTTATTTGCAACCTCAAACCCGTTTTGCAGGTCTCTTCTCTGTGGGCAGCCTGGCTCCTCCCCGGCTTTACCTGGGAGTAAATCCCACTGAACTCAATTGACTTCCAAATCGACTTGCTTGGGATTGGGCAAAAGGGGGGGGGGAGGAACCTTAGCTAACTTTGCAAAGCCTTGCAGAGGCAGCTGCATGCACCTTTGCCTTTTGTGGAGCATGGCAGCACTAGAACGGGCCTTTTCTGCAGTGGCTTCCCATTTGTGAAATGCTCTCCCCAGGGAGGCTCGCCTGGCACCTTAATCGCCTGGCATCTTTAGGCACCAGGCAAAGACGTTTCTCTTCAACCAGGCATTCAGCTGATTAACATTCTATGGCTTTTAAAATGTGTTTGTGGGATGGGAGTTATTGATTTGTTTCTGTTTCTGTTAGATAAAGGAATATTTATAATAATATAAAAGTGTATAAGCACGTATCATCCTGATATTAATCAGCCGAAAATTAAACAATGAACAGTTACAAATGGAAGGCCTGGGAGGGTAGAAAAACCAGGGCAGACCAGGTATCCCCCCCTATCTTTCAAGTTGTTTTCATATTTGTTTCCATAAATTTGGGGAATACAGAAACTTTGAGGGGGGATATAGTTACCCCCAGTTTATACCCCCTCTGGACTTCCAATCGCTATGAAATGTGTTTTGTTGCCCATCACAAGCCATTTTATAATACGTTAATTTGATTATTATGAAAGTTCTGATTATTCCACACTACTATTATTGTTGGCAGGGCAACTCACATCTTGTGGTTTCGTTAATTATTTGTAATATAATTACAAATACGTTTGACTCAATCTGCTATTCTGTTCACATAAACTTCTGTTCACATAAACTTCCTTTCACAGTTCACAAGGAAGGAAGGATCAAGAACAAAGTTCTCTTCTCTGATTAGGATAATATGGTGGCCTTAGGGGCCAAGATAAGGCACGGCAGCTAACAGGCCTTGAGGGACGGCAGTAGGTTAAGGAATCTCTGTGCCAAGATCACTCACTCTCTGTCTATGCTTAGGAGGCCTCACCCAGTGTCTGGCTGTTTCTTATATGGAGCTAACCCCCCCCTCCCCAGGTAGGCAGGCTCCAAAGGATGGGAGTCAGGGAGGGGGATGTAAATACTGACAATCCAGAAGAGACTAGGTTATTACAAGATGGAATGGTTGCCATGTGCAGAGCAAAATTAGCAGGGTCTGTGGTGAATGTACTCAGCCATAAAGTTTACCAACACCACATATACAAGATTAGAATTAACACACAGGAATGGAATTAACTCCAATCCCAATTCCATGATAGATAGAAACCTACTTCACTGTAAGCATGAACTGAAAAGATGTGCATGTGTATACACAGCCACATTTTTTATTTACAACGATCCTATATTTATTTACAGTGATCCTATATTTGCCAACTCAGAAGCAAATCCCACCAAGTTCAATAGGACTAAGGCTGCAATGCTAACCTCACTTGCCTGAAGTACTAATGAATTCAGTAGGTCTTACTTCTGAGGAGACACAGCTAGAACTGCAGCCTGAGTGTGCAAAGAAACACGATATGGAGCTGCAATCTGACAAGCACACAGCTGAACAAAGGTCTCACTAGACACCGTGATTTCTGAGTACAAAGACATAGGCTTGGGTTACAAGTCAGTCTAACTTATGTGACAGTTGGTTATTGCTTTTTTAAAAAAAATAAAGAAATCGCACACACCCAGAAATGCAGTAGGAATAAGAATCCAAACCCAGTTTCCTAATCTAAGTCATGCCCATACGGCACATGTGCTCTGAAACAGGCAACTGGCCTTGGACCGTAAGCCTTATGTAAACCTTGTTGACAGCAGCTGTACAATTCCTCTAGCCATCCCTGGGTCTGGTTTCTGGCAGATCAGAGATATACCTGTGCCATTCAGACAAAAGGCAGTTCCCACCTCACCTTCGCTTTCTAGGCAGGTCGGCCCACTATTGAAGCACATTCAATCGTGGACTGGAAGGGAAGAGAATCCCTTTCCGAACATGACTGCATCCTGGGGCCTGTTCCCAGGGCTACCCTTTGGTTGGTAATTCAATTAACAAGCTCTCTTTGGAATAAATCCCAGGCATAAATGAGACGGTAAATTCTATCATGGGAGGCGGGGGAGAGCCAGAAAGCTAAAAGAAATGCCACCTGCACTTAGGACTCGCCCCCTCCCCACATTACCTAACATGACCAAATAAATAAAACCCGGTGATATTATAAAGAATTAACCCATCACTCCTCTACCAAGCAGCATTCAGGTGGCAAGGGGAGGCGAAAGCTCTTCGTCTCCTGTACCTATAAAACGCCATTGGGAACGAAATAATTGGCTCCACACCATCCGCATCTATCCTCCATCCGGACCGGATCCAGGCCTGCTGTTGCCACCGCTCAGGCCCAATTGTGACAGACTCCTCTATCCCCGCACCAAAAGACTGCAATGATGAGAGAGAGAGAGAGATATAAAATCTCTTTTTGAAAACCTGTCCAGCCAATCAATGCAGTCGATTCGCTGGGCTCCGGCCCCCACCCCCGCCAGCCCCACCTAGCTATAAATAACAAAAGCCAGGCTGGTCCGGCGGGCACCCGAGCGCTGAGACGCCGGCTAGCTCTCCGCGGACGCGGGCAGAGACGGTACCTTGGTCCCGAGGAGAAGGAGGAGGAGGATGCGAAATAAATCGGAGGAGCTGCACGCTCAGCGCTGCAGCATCTGCCTCGCCCCCATCTCCCGTGCCATTTTCACATCGCCGCTTCGCTTCCTCCTCTCCGACCTCAGAGCAATCTTCCGGCTTCCAGATTTCACATGTGGCAGGTTCCCGTTTTGCTTTAAAGGAATAACAGGTACCCCGCTGCTAGCAGAAAACCACCAGCCCCTCCGCCCAAGGAAGAGAGCAGCCGGGGAGCAGCTCCGCCCCGCCCCTAGCGGCCGAGCCGGGAATCGGAGCAGGAGGAGTCTGCGCGGCAACAACCGCGACCCGGAGTTCACACGTGGCGCGCGTGGTGGGTGGGTGCAGAAGCAGTTCCCACTCAGCCACTTGCATGCATGCATGCATGCATCCACATATGGGCATGTCTCGGGCGCTCTAGCGGGGAGGTTTAACGACTAAGAACAAAAGATAAAGGCTTCCTCACGCGTCAAGAGTTAACATTTAAACTTTCAGCGTTAATAGAAGCATAGAATTGTAGAGTTTGACTTCACCCCCAAATCGTCTCCCAAGACTGATATATGCCAACTAATAAGATCAATAACAGAACCATGGAATTATAGGGACAAGAGTCCAGCCCCCTGCAATGCAAGTCTCTTTGGCCCAGTGCTGGATTTAGGTACTGTATAAGCTATAGCTTAGGGCCCCCGGAAAATTTTTGGGGCGCCTCCAAAAATTCAAAGAAAAAAACCCTGGATGTACATTTCCAAAATATAACATAAAAAAACAAATAGAATAAAACCTACATACAGCAACAGTGTTTTGTGTTGTGTAGACTCCTATGATGTAAGTACAGTGGTACCTCAGGTTACAAACACCTCAGGTTACAAACGCTTCAGGTTACAGACCCCGCTAACCCAGAAGTAGTACCTCGGGTTAAAAACTTTACCTCAGGATGAGAACAGAAATTGCACACTGGCGGTGCGGCAGCAGTAGGAGGCCCCATTAGCTAAAGTGGTACCTCAGGTTAAGAACGGTTTCAGGTTAAGAACGGACCTCCGGAACAAATTAATTTCGTAACCAGAGGTACCACTGTAACGAGCCCCACCTGCTAGCCTGCTCCCTAAAATATCACTGGTTTGCTCATTTCTATATATAGGGTGCATACATTCTGCATGGATTGGTTGCATGGCAACATGTTCAAATGGCTCTCGATATCTATTAGGTCCATAAATTACCATATAGCATATATTCAACACAAAAAACAGCGACAATTTGTTGTTGACAAAGCTGGACATATAAAGGGCCCCATTACCTTCAGTAGCTATGGGCCTCATCAGCACAGGAAGACCAACCTGGAACCATTTTGATTCCTAAACTGAGTAAATGTTTTCTCTACAAGGTCAAAATGGGAAACTTCCCCATTGTCTCTTTCCTCACAAATCCTGTCTTAAGGGCACATTTAAGATATGAATAGGGTGTGAGCCTGTGACCTGGCCCAGGAACTAAGTATTTATCACTACAAAAGAATGGCCAGGCTCCCCAGCAAATCCAATCAAGTAACCTGTCAGACAGGAGATAAACAACGACAGGAGAAAAACAACATTAAAATTTCTGTTTTAAGACCACCTTTTCTGTGATGTATGTATGATGTTTCTGGGGGTGGTCTTGATCTACAGGGTGGCAATTTCAAAAGTCTTTATAAGGCCTTGCACGCCATTTTTCTGGGTCGTCCTCCTTTCCTGCTTGTGAGGGGAGCACCCTGTTGCAACAGTTCAATAAAGATCAGGCTTACTAGCTGCTTTGCTTCTCAATATTCTCTGGTTGGCCTCTGTTATTCTCTCCTACCAATAGGGAACCAATGTAAGGACTCTATAATGGGCTCTTGAATACCCCATAAGGGAAAAGGGCAATTTTTGTTTACAACATACCCCACCGATCTGACTGGGTTGCCCCAGCGACTCTGGGTGGCTTCCAACACATATAAAAACATAATAAAACTGTTAAATAGTGGGTGAACATATCAGACGACACAGCGATTCTTCAAACAGCTCTTGTTTATTCACAGGCCAGAACAGAACTGAACAGCAAACAGCTCAGCCGGCCTGCTTTTATAGGCAGCCGGCTGTCAACATTGTAGCAACAACAACACAGGGTTTCCCGCCTAAATTAACTGACGCGGACCTGAGTGAAAACTATATGCACGATACTCCTGGTGGGCAGGGTGAGAACTTCAATACATAAGACCCTTCCCCACCGAGATAAGGCATTAGTTACAATCATAGTGGTTCCATTACCGTATTTTTCGCACCATAGGACACACTTTTCCCCTCCTAAAAAGCAAGGGAAAATGTGTGTGCGTCCTATGGAGCGAATGCAGGGGGGAGGCAGGCGGGAAAAGCCCTCAAGAGCCGCACACAAGCTTCGTGCGCACTTGCGGGCTTTTCTCCAGGAGGGAGAAGAGACTGACTGGCCGCATCAGTCCCTTCTCCCTCTGGGGGAAAAGCCCCCAAGAGCGGCGCCCTCTTTAAAGGCTGTGCGGCTCCTGCAGGCTTTTCTGGGAGGTGGGGGAATCCCCCCACCTCCCAGAAAAGCCAGGAGAAGCCGCGCAGCCCCTTTAAAGAGCGTGCGGCTTCTGCGGGAGGTGGGGGAAGCTGGAGCATATTCCCTCCTCCTGGGCTCCCTTTGAAGCGGCAATGTGGGAGGGGAGCAGCTTACACTCGTGTAAGCAGCTCCGCTCCCACTTTCCTGCTTCAAAGCAACTACGGAGGAGGGAAGGAAGGGGACCATGGATCCTCCGCTGCTCACGGCTGCAGCGGATTCCTCCTCCGTGATTGCTTTGAAGCAGGAAAGCACTCGTGTAAGCAGCTCCTCTCCCACTTTGCTGCTTCAAAGTGGAGGGAATCCACTGCAGTTGCGAGCAGAGGATCCATGGCTCCGCTTCCTTCCCTCGAAGCAGGGTGCGGGGGTGCAGGGGGGAAAGAGGGCAGGAAATAGATGCCGGGCAGGAAGACACAACCACACTTTGACCACTGAAAGTCCACCTCAGCCTCCCCAGATTTCCACTGAGACGGCCAGGCTAATCTCGATGGCCACAAGTCAGGCTCAGCATTATTAACTGGACTTAGATAAGCCATGGTTCCCCTTCCTATCCTCCTCTGAGGCTCAATTTAAAGCAGCAAAGTGGACAGGAGCCGCCCGCTTTGCTGCTTTAAATAGTTTAGTTAGTGCAACATTTGATTCAGAATATTTTTTTCCATATTTTCCTCCTCTAAAAACTAGGTGCGCCCTATGGTCAGGTGCGCCCTATGGAGCGAAAAATACGGTACATACAGCAATACCCTTATTGGTTTCAGTAAGGCACATAAGCACATTAATTGACCCTATTCACCATACAGCTTTATATGTGCAGTTTGTCCAGTGAACATAGTCTTTTAAATATGCTGGGCGCTTGGAAACCCTGCTGGATCGCCGAGGGCCAGTACCAGAATCCGGGTGGCCTTCCGATTCTGGTTGCGACTGTGATGCGACCAAATGTGGCATTGAGCCCGAGTTCCCTGGCTCCGCTGCTGTTGAAGAAACCGCTGCGAGCGGACTGGCGGACGGTCAGGCATGGTGGTGATCTGAGTCTCTGGAGAGCCAGGCAGACCCACTGAAATGGCTCGGCTCGGCTCCATGCCCTCAGTTTGTGAGGAAGTTGTAGGTGGAGCCTCACATTCCATTAACGACTGCTCCAGAGCTGGGGCCACAGCTGGGGGCACAGCGGTAGTGTCCTAATCCCCAACCCTGCGCCTTAGCTGGTATATGTGCCACCGCCACAAGTGTTCGTTCTCGAGTGCCACCTGGTACGAACAGGGCCCTGTGACTCCCACTACCATGACTGGCACCCAAGGAATGTCCCCCACAAAGTTCCGGGCAAAAACCTGATCCCCTGGAATAAAGGACCGTGGCACGTTAGTACTGCCCAGGGGCTTGGCCACACCAAAGTCTGGGTGCAGCCGGTCAAGCGGAGATCTGAGGCGGTGGCCCATAAGCAGTTTGTCCGGGCTCGGCCCTGTGGCTGCATGAAGGGTGATGGGCTGCACGAGCAAGTATTCAGTGACCCGCTCGTGCCAGTCCCTCTGTTCCAGGCGCGCCAGCGCACCATTCTTTCTGCCTGTGCGTTGCTGGCCGGGTGAAATGGTGCCGTTAGGCAATGGCGGATGCCCAGCCCCAAGAGGTACCTTTCAAAGGTGCCCGACATGAACTGAGGTCTGTTGTCCAAGACGAGGACATAAGGACACCCATGAGTTGCAAACAGACCCCACAGCACCCGGATGACGCCTTCGGTAGTGGTGGAGGGCATCAGGGCCACCTCCAGCCATTTGGAATAGGCGTCCACCACTACCATAAAGGTCCGACCATGAAAGGGGCTGGCAAGATCAATGTGCACCCTCGACCAGGGTGCCTTGGGCATCTCCCAGGTGTTACCCTTAGCTGCTGGCGGTGCAGGTCTCAACTCTTGGCATGCTTGACAGGAGGCAACCCACGAAGTGATGGCATCGTCCATATTAGGCTACCAGACGGAACACCGAGCCAACACCTTCATTTTGACGATTCCCGGGTGGCTGGTGTGCAGAGCCTCGAGGACGCGCTGGTGGAGTCTTTGGGGAACCACAACTCGATCTCCCCACAGTAGGCAGCCGTGATGAGCCGAGAGCTCGTGCTGTCTGGTTGCGATGTGGCCCCTCCTGGAACATCGACAACAGATGGCATCTCTGAACCGACACTTGGCACGGGAATGCTTGCCTCCACAGCCGGCACATTCTGATTGGCCCATGGACTTCTGTTTGAACTTCCCGTGGTCCCGCTTTGTCTGATGCACGTCATCGTCTTCACTGGAGGATGCCTCATCACTGCTGGCCTCTTCATGATGCACTGGGACTGGCTTCCTAGCAAGACGCGAGCTACTGGCCTTGCGGATTTCCTGGGCGGAGAGTTCAGCAGCTTCTGAGGCCATGGCCTCCTCAATGGTTTTCTGCAGCGTGAGGTCTGGCTTGGCGAGGAGATGCCGTTGCAGACGGATGTCCCGGACCTCGCAGACAATTTGATCCATCAGGGCATCGTCTAAGTCTCGGAACTCGCAGTGCATTGCAGCCTGTCGGTGGGCGGCAGTGTAGTTGTTAATTGACTCTCCCTCTGCCTGGTTCCGGTGGTAGAACGCATGGCAGGCAGCAATCTTGGATGGCTTTGGCACGTAGTTGTTGCGGAGCTTCTCTTGAATCGTGTCCCACGGCTCTGCCTGGACTGCTAGAGGCGCAACCAATGCTCGGGCCGTCGCAAACACTCCGGGGCCACAACGGCTGAGGAAGAGGCCCCGCTTCTGCTCTACAGACCCTTTTGTCAGCTCATTTGCTTGGAGGCAGCAGTCGAACCGAGCGAGGTAGGAGTCCCATGATTCAGAGGCTGGGGCAAATGGCGGTAGAGGCACGAGTGAAGCCATGGTTCCGATGCCGACATGGAGGGCCATGGATGGAACACAGTGCTCTAGCCAGAACGGTCAGCTCTGAATTGATTCTGCTCTGTGATTTCGCTCAGTGTTTCAGCTCCGTGATTCAGCTCAGCTCAGAGCGTGGCCGTGTCTGGCTGTGCTCTGATGTCCATCGATCCCACCTTCGTCGCCA